TTTGTTTTTGTTTTTTCTTTTTGTACGTGAGATGCATGTGAATTGACCAAATAATACAGTGTGTTTATTAAAATTTAAATATTTTTAAATTCAAAAGAAGATCAGTTAATTATGTGATACACAAGACTTAAGTCAAATTTTTACGTGTATTTTATATGCATTTTACGTGCAAAAAAATTAACTGTTACTTTTTCATGTAACCCTTAAGGAAAAGTGAATGAGAACACTATTTAACTTACGACAATTGATTTCGGACACCGGATGAGAACACTATTTAACTTACGACAATTGATTTCGGACACCGGATGCGTAACATACTAAAACAAACATACGACACTTTTTACAGAAAAATAATTGTATTTGAATGTTACTCTAAAATATCTTAAAATCCGTACAACGTGCGGGCATAATACTAGTATATGTATTGTATATACTAAAGAAATCTTGATAAGCATCTATAACCACTTGTCCTTTATGATTCACTTTTTATATTTAATTTGTAAATGGGTATAATCATATTCATAGACATCGAATAAACTTAAATGGCTCTGTTTGTTTCTTTTTTCTCATGATTTTTTCAGAATAATATAATAATATTTGTCCTATTCTAACACACCTTTTTACATTTCCAATACAATTTTTTACATTTCCAATACAAAAAAACACATAAAATACACTTAAAAAAAACGAAACAAACATAGTGTTTGATATGGTCAATAAATTATCCGGCGAAACAACTGGGTTAATTTGGAAAATCCTGGCTATTATTAGGTTATCTTCATCAGTTGATTCTAAAACTCCCTTTCCCCCTATAAAATTAGTTTCTTCTATTTTAGAAGAAAAAAAGGAAAAAAAAAAAAAAAGCTCTCGTAATTTCTAATTTGATTCTGGATGCGTGCTAGAATTTGAAAGTGGTTTGATTAGTCAAGTCATTGTCATCACTGAACTAGTAAATATAGTGTCATGTCAAGCCACTCACAAAAATGATGATTGATAAAAGAAGCAACTACGTACTTGAAAATTAATGATAGTTCTTTTAACTTCTTTTTGACTAACTAAAATATTCAGTTATTCTATGAGTAATTTATAATCTCAAAGAATAATTTTGTTTATCCAATAATCTTGTTTTTTTCTTTGGCCAAAAAATTCTACAAATGGCATCATTTACTCTACCCCACTCAAGATTTCGTGCATTCATCATCTCCCTTTTTAAACTAAACTCTTGCATAAGCCAAAGACACGTACTCTTATTTTTTTTAATAGTATTTCTCTTGTCACGCTAAACTAATTAAAGCTAAGTAATGCAAAATCAGATATGATCATCCTAAATGATGACATAAAGAAATATATACTAAAATGCTTTGTAAATGAAACCAACTTAACTTTTCCACATGATTCACTCACCTAAAAAAAAAAGAATATACATGAGCAACGTTGGTTAGCTTTGTATTTTATTATTCACTCAATAAAAAAAAAGAACATATTGAAATATACTTGTGCTTTGTAAGAGAACTAGAGAATACTTTTATTTTTTTTAGTTAAGGATAAATAGTTATAATCGGAAGTGTGAACCCTCAGTTATAAATTTTCCTCCATTCAATGTTTATCGTATTTCCTAAGTTTTAGTTTGCCGGTGAACTACTTTGTGCAAAATTAGGTTATATTCAAAAACATCAAACATATTTGAGCACAACTAACTAATTTGTTTTAAGAAAATCGTACTTTCATGAGGAAGTCACGATCTCTGCCGTAACAAATATACTCCATCCGTCCTACAAAAATAGTCCACATTGAGTTTTGAGTTTTGTACTATTTTTAGTACAAATTTAAAAACTCAATGTGAACTATTTTTTTGGGATAGAAGTAGTATTATATACTTTGAGCAACTTATATATTATATCAGAGTAATAGAACTATGGTAGTTACAACAATCAAAATTTCCAAACTCGTAGTTATAAAGTTACTCTTACTATCCCACCTAACCTTCACACCGCGCATGCGTATGATCTATATTAATTCAACCATGCATGACTTGGGAAGTTTCGAGTCACCTGATTGTTACAAAATCTTCAGTGAATATGGCAATGGAGACGAATTGAAATGCGGGTCCTTTTTTGTGTGAAAGAGAAATCTTGCAAAAGTAGTAGGACCAATGAAATCCATGTTAAGGTGAATAGATCTCCATTTATAAAAACGGCCAATTGACAGAATGAGAAAGAGAGAGCCCCAAATCATCAATATCAACGGATAAGATCTTTGCCTATTTGGCATTGCTAACTAGTACAATACAATGAAAGAAAAAGGGAGGAAAACCGATCTCGAAATGGAAAGTTTCATGTGGTAATGATTATGATTAGTGAGTCTGAAAATACACACCAATCATTGGTCAAGATTGATTGATTTCTCACAAAATCTTGTGGAAAGATGAAATGACATAGATTACGTTTTGTTTTCTTCTACCGTTCTAATTATGCATCTTGTTAACGTCAGATTCGGTTGCTTTAGGCGCACTGACCTTTCCATGACAGCGTGTGCTAAGGAAAAAAAAAATTGATATCGGAGAGGGTTTAGATTAATCTTTTTTTTTGGTTTAGATTAATCTTAGTTTATGTAAATAATGCATACTAGAATTTGAGATTCCGAGGTGGTTTAAGTTAACCGCTTTGAGAACTTCAGTTTATATCATAAGTAACTTTGTTGCGTCAGTATAATCTATATACAAACTGTGATAAATTGTGATAGTATAATCGCCCATAGAGATTATTATCTTCTTCACTGTACCAAACGAAGTACATGGATCAGCGCTCCCTCAACCCCCAATAAAGATTCAATACTAGTTGTTGCATATTTAGAAGTAAACTAATAATCAACATAGAAGTATTTATAATTCTCTGTATTATGATAAATCAACAAACAAAATTCTTATTTTCAAACCCAAAAACTATAACCCGATGGATTGAACATAGATTTTGGACTCATATTTTAACATTTTATAGTTAAACTAACAATCATTTGTCATAAGGAAAAGCATAGAATAGTTTCTTTTCTGGGAAAATCTATATGTGCAACCGATGTCACGTGGTGTTTTAAGTAAGTTCTAATAAATTGTTGGGCGTAATTTTATTTGGGTGCCTGATCCATTAGGCGAAAATTAACAAAGAAATAGTTTCTTCTCACATACATAGGGCCAATGTTCTTGATCGACTGTGATAATGGATAAATGTGTGAACTTCTACTGTAACTACTTATCCACCAAAAAAAGGGCGGGGGTGGGGCGGGTGGGGTGATCGATCAATTTTGACATGTGATTTTTTTTTTTGGGTTCAAACTTCAAACTGAGTAGACTTATGGTCACTTGTACAAAAAGAGGGCTGGTAACTTGCAGAGTGGAGCTATCATTATCATCAAACTATATTGTAATGTGGATCCATCCATTTGATTTGATTTTGATGAAATGAAGTGGATTGAGGGCGCTGAATCTTTGGATGGATGGGAATGGGACCAATTGAAATGTCACCTTTCCACCAACAAAATTAAATTATACAAGAATATTATTGTCATCCCAAGTTTTCTTTTCCTTTTTTTTGTGGATCTCAAATTTATAACATTTCAAGTTATAAAGGAACAAATAACTAAGTAGATTAGTTGCTGATCAAGACACATCACTTCCGTATCGATAGATTGGTAGTGCTCTCCCGAGGGGGAAAAAAGAAAACACACAAAGTAGAATAATCTGAGATAAAATTGAATATTACATCACAAAAGTAAGCAAACAGTGTTTTATAAAAAAAAAGAAAGAAAACATAATAATATACATATATGTATTCTTGTATTGTTTTTCTTCACGTGCTTATGCAATATCCATGATTTGATCAGAATATATGGTTCATGCGGGTGGCATCCGACCGTGATTCTGTTCTAAAAAAATTATTCATAATTGTTAAAAAAAAATGAATATTTTTATAAGAAATTGATCAGCATATATATAGGTACTTTTACACAATGGAGAGATTTCGGTTTTTTTGCCTTTTAATTTTCATTGAGAACAGACTCCAAGTTAGAAGTACAAGTTAAATATAGCCGCCGGCGGCTGGAATTTACATTTTAGAACGATAGAATCATAGAAGCACATTTGACATATACTACGTCGGCAATTGCTATGTAATGGAGTAGTAATCATGACTAGTTACTAGTTAGTTCGGAAATATAATAGTAAGTTATTATTACTTTACATTTGGTACTATTATAATAGTTTTGTTCTGTAAAATAAAACAGATTACAGCTTCTAGGAATTTTCGAACTAGATAAAGAAATTCAACAATTTTCTTTTTTTTTTTAAAAAAAAAAAAAACCATAAGCACCTTAACGAGAGAAGCAGGGAATCTAGGTTGCCTTGAAGCCCTCCAATATAGGCAGAGTTTAAGGTTTGTATGAAACTAATTAACAGACGATGAAAAAAATTAAAGAATTTGGGTATGTATTATGTGAGAATTTGTGTGCTTAATGTCTATCTCTAACTAACAGAATAACAGGTTGCTTTTTTTCTTTCCTTTTTTTTTTGGTTTAAAATAGAGAGAGGGGTAAAAAAAAAAACATGAATTATTCCTTCTCCATAGGGTGTGCTAGATCTGGGGGTTCCTTTTTGTTACTCTTTGTAACAATTCCTAGATTCACTGTTTAGAGTATTTCAGAAAAATAATAAAAGTAAAAAAACACAATTCCTAGATTCATTCCCACAGTTTTCTCCCTCCCAAAAAATCTAAATTAAATTTTATATAGTAAATAAATTAGCAAAGCAAAAAAAGTGCCCTGCTCCTACTTTAGTGCCTTACTTTTATCTCAGTTCACCTTGTTTTGTTTATTTATATATATATCACCCCAAAAAGAGTCTCTCACTTTGCATGTAACTCATCTCCATCTCAAAAAGTAGTAGTAGTACTCATTCTGCAGTCATCTTCTTCTTCTTCTTCTTTTTTTTTTCTTTTTTCTTTATTTTTGTTAGTTCTGAAAATTTCTTTGAAAAAAATATATATATACTATTGGATTGGATGAATATCATGTGTTGCGACCAAGGTGAGATTGTTTGGAACAATATTAATAATAATATTGAGGATGCAGATGATGAAGATTTTCAATACCTTCTGCTTGCTGCTTCTTCTAGTCATACTAACTCCTCCATGGAAGAAGAAGAAGATTCACACAACCACCATTTCTCTTCTCCCGACGAACATCTTCATCTCCGTCGCGGCCGCCATCGAAACCCTCTTCATCTTCCACCTCCTCCGCCACCTTGTTCTTCTTCTAATCTGGAACAAGAACTAGCCGGAGTTGATGATCATCATCATTGTCGAACTCCAGATCAAACCCGACTCAAAAGACTCAAGTATTCTCATCTAAACCACAAGGTATACAAACTTTACAAAATGATGTTAATTTTTTTTATATAATTGAATTTTGTGTTTATACTTATTGGTTTTTTTTTTTTTTTCTTGTTATATTGATGTATTAGGGTGAAGAAGAAATTGAGAGTCATGAAGAATCAACAAGTTCATTGGGATTGAAACTCAAGAAATCACCGTCTCTTATTGATTTGGTGGAAAGGAGATTATCTAAAGGAAGGGTTCCCAGCCGTTCTAATTCTAACAGCCCTGACCATAATAATAATAATAATAGTACTAAGAAGCCGAGTTCTTCCAAGCTTGATTATGGATCTCTCCCCATGTCTGAAAAACTCAAGGCTTCTAATTTCCCAGCATTGTATTTGAAAATTGGCAACTGGGAGGTAATCATTTCTCTCCATCTCCTTCATATATTAATATATTTCTTCCGTCTTAAAAAAAATAGTCTATTTTGTTAAACCCTCGAAAATGAAGATATTTTACTTTTGTTGTTTGGCAGAGAATCTCACAGAATGAAGGTGATTTGGTGGCGAAGTGTTACTATGCTAAGAAGAAGTTGGTTTGGGAGATATTGGAAGGGGCACTGAAAAGCAAGATTGAGATTCAATGGAGTGATATTATTGGCATTAGGGCAACTGTGGTTGAAGATGAACCAGGGACTTTAGAAATTGAGGTATTCATCTTTATTTGTGTCTTCTTCATTTTTGTAAGCGTTAATCCTAAGACTCTCTTAAGAAGAAATGTTACACTTTCCTTTCTTTTTCTTTTTTTTTAACATTCTTTCTGTATAAATTTGTACTTATGTGCCATAATATTATTTTGTGCAGTTGAGTCAAGCACCTTCATTTTTCAGAGAAACCAATCCACAGCCCCGTAAGCATACCCTTTGGCAACCTACTGAGGATTTTACTGGAGGCGAAGCTCCTACATATAGGTACATAAATATTATTAATGACCCCTTTCTCATGCAAATTATTATTTATGCTCTCTATTGATTAGTTCATATTATGGTGTACATTATAATTGTATGTGGGGATTCTCTCCGTCCCGAAATAATTTTCATGTTCTTGCGAACGAGAGAGTATGTCTTTTTAGTTTCATTTTTCATCTTTTAATTGTATGTTTTGAGATAATTTCTCTCACAATTAATATTATGCTATATTGTTATATACTTACATTGATTTCGTGTATTTTATGCAGTATACACTATGTGAAATTTGCACCGGGAGCTCTTGACAAGCACTATGAGAAGCTCTTACAATGCCATCCAAATTTACAATCAATCAGCCGAAAGCCATTCCCTACTCAACCATCTCCTTATTTCAGGAGACATAATTCATATGACTTACCATCCAATTTCGTTTTGCATGGATATGGATCACATCTCCACCAATTTTCTAACCCTAATTGGACACCACAAAATCAACCAGATCTTTCAAATTTACGATGGTCAGGTATCACATTCGGCATTATTTTATGTTATATTCATTCTGTCCCAAAATTAAAAAAAAAAAAAAAAAACTTTTTTGATTTACCTTATTCTAAGATCATTTTATATGTGTTTATTATATATTAGGTTTGGAACAGTATCCATCGACAGCGGCATTGAACAATATGATGGTGTTGGAAAATGGAACTATCTATCCATCTCAACAAGTCCTCCCGCATGAAGGGTTGAGGAGCATTCCGCAAGCGAATGTTGGTCCGCTCAATTACATCCAGAACCATCTGTTAGGCGAAAATCATCAGATGATCTGTTCCAGCGAAGATCTGATCACACAAGATCATATCATGTCAATGCAAAATCCTTTAGCACTTCATCATCATGGCCAGTTACAACAAATTGCGAATATTAGGGCGACGGCCTCCGCCGCCGGAGGGATGATGCAACAAGATTATGATCATGATCATCATACTTTGATGATGAGTTTACAAGGGCAACAAGACTATAGAGATATTACTGCACAGCCTGCTGTGGTGCCGGTGAATGCAGTGCCTTTGATGAATTGGGAAATTGTGGAAGACTTGAGCACACAACAAGCAAGCATTAAGGGTTCACCCTATGATCAATATCACTAATTACTTTTATATGATTTGAAATTTTTTTTATATAGTTTTACTGAGCCTTATGTTCAGTTTTTAGAATGAATAAGAGTGTGTTTTAGCAGAGTTTAAGGATTTAGATTTTAGGTTTAACATGCATTAGAATAATTAGTTGATTATCCCAAAATTAGGATTGGTGTGAAGTCATATCGTGATGAATAAAATTTTTCTTCCACTTTCCTAACACTTCGGTTAGTTACTGAACCAGTTTTACTTTTCTTTTGCCTTTTTCAATCCCGATGTTCCAATAAATCATCTTCGTCTGTTACATCTTCTTCCTTCAAAATCCAGTATTGATGGTAAGACAAATGGGAATTTTGCCAGGAAATTTCCCCAATCCAAGAATTTTAACACTGATGAAGATGATCAGAGCACAGAGAGTAGGGAAACGTTAATATTCAAAACTAGAATTATTTGTTTAATAATCGCCAAAACTTGTCAAAGCAAGCTAGTTCAACACTTGGATTCATGCATTTTGAAGTTAATTAAATTTTTATCCTCCGTCCCACATTTTGATAGTAATTTTTTTTATAAATATAATGGAAATTACTGGTATACATAGTCAAGGAATTAAAATGGTCAACATTGGCCAGATTCTTTCTTTCTTTCTGACAGTTTTATCCTCAGCAGAGGAAGCAAAGACCATATCTAGAAAAATGATGATTTGGGCAAAGTACACATAAGGTTAGATTATTAATAATACTATTTTGTCCTAATAAACACCATGCTGAAAAGATAAGCTTCAAGTTTTCGCATTTGGATGAGGCATTCTACTAGAATCATCAAACGGACCTGGTACGGTGGCATTTGATCCATCAGCAACTCCATTTGCTCCATCTTCTTTGCTTGTTTCATCAGGCTTCCTCTTCTTCGATGAGGAATGCGAGTTCTCCGTGTTCCTTTTCAGTTCCTTTTCTCTGCTTCCTTCAGCATCTACCTCTTTTGCTTTCTCCAACAGGGCTTCGATATTATTTTGAGAATATAACGGGGCTTCTTTGCCACTCAATCGGCAAAAAACTCTTTCTACAGTTTCACTAATCTCCTTGCCAAGCCCATTGTTATCCAACATCATCTCCCACACTGACTTGGAGGCTTTCTCAAGCACTGAAGTTCTGCAACAAGTTATCACAGACAATTTTAAGACAGTCAGAGTAATAATTAACATCATAAATAAAGGTATTCTCTTCAATAAATAATTAAATAAAAGAATAATGGTGTAAAGTGTAGACAACGCTAACTTAGTTTGCATCCAATTCATACATATAGCTCACAGAAAAGCAAAAAAAACTAATACCAGATATCCAGTAGAGTCACAATTAAGAAAATAATACATAATGCACTAGGTGCCCAGAATACATTTTTAATTCATTTGACCTCGCTCTTGAACCAACATAGAGAAAGTTGCAACAGTTCGCCCCCCACAAAGACCATTAAATGTTGCCTTACAAAAGCTACTGTTAGTTTCATATGCCATGACCGATACATCCATCAACAGTTATTCATAACTTGATGGCTACAGAATGTTGAAAACACAGCTACAGCTTCGAGAATCACCAGATAATTGAGAATTCCTAGCTATCCAGTTGAGAGGAAGATTAGGATGCAAGGAACTCAAAAGTGCCTAGGTGTAGAAATTCGAGCAGTAAGAATGCTGTCCAGACTTAGCAGTTCCCAATCAGTCATGAGGGCATAACTAATGAGACCAATTTCTAAAGAGAGCATCAACCCCGCTGAGGCGCAGAGATAAATGCCCACTAATTTGAAGCTCCATTGAAGATGCGTAATTCACCAAACTACATACCAGATAAATAGCAAGCAGGAAAAGTTTCATGCTGAAAATATCCTACATCCTCTTCTGCCAAAATTATGCAGCAGGTATACGACTAATTGAAAGTAAACATGCAATAATATCAGATTTCCTCACAAAAATACTTTCATTTGCAAATATACAGAAATGAATCTAACACACTTAAGAAAGCTTAAAAGAGAAGAAAGGCTTCACAACATGTAGCATGTAAAGCACCATCCTTTTATAGTTTAGAAAGACGATATGGAAATGTCATTGTACCATCTAGGCATTTGAACTACTGATACATGAAAAGAAGCCTTCACAACCAAAGTAAAAGAAAGAAGGTTTAACTATTTCCAAGAAACCAAAACAGGCTAATCCTTATGGTCACACTCTTTCGATCAAGACCTTTACAAATGCAAAACTGAAAGAAAGAGAAAACACACTTAAAGAATGATTACATATTCATTTAAAACTTTTGCCTCTACAAGAAAGTATTAAGCATTGGATAACATCGTTATTTGCAATTTTAAAATTGATGAACTTTTGTAACAATAAAAAGAAAAAGACAAAATATTTTTGACCAATTCTACATAACATCTATGACTCCCAAGTTCTGTTTTTTCACATGAGGAATCACCTTGCAAAGAAGAATATGCATTCTGATGTTGACTTCACCAATTTGAAGAAATCTAAGATCCCTCACAGAGTGCTAAAACTTCAATCAGAAACTAATCTCATGTTTGTAATATCCTTTTCCTCCAATTTATGTACTTGACCTCATTATTTCTACTAGCAGAAACTGAGAAAAGAGTAAAGCTGAAGACTTAACCCACACGGCCAAAAGCATGATTAGAAGAACAGTGGCAGATAAGTAATATAAAATGAGATACTACAGCCGGATGCTTCCAAAATTGGTGAATAAAATATCTCTTCCATAGTTGAATCAAAGCTGCAAAATTTTTCGTAACAGAAATAAACAAAAGTTGGAATTCACAGACATCCATCTCTGAAAACATCCGAGTTCCAAGGCATTCAAAGTCAGAATATGTATTACAAAATGGTGATGAAAATCCAAACTTACAAACTCTGATTAGAGACACCTCTTTGAAAACAAGTTTCCACCTCGGAGTCACGATTTGTTAAGGCCAGACTAGGACAGAGAACACAAGGACAAATCACACCTTCTATTTAACATGGTCCGTAGTAATGCCCTTCAGAGTTTAGTCATGCCAAACATGATTCCAGACAGGTATAAAGCAAGCAGCACTCAAGACCAGAATACTATATAACAAAATGAGTACCCAACGGGAGGAATGCTCCAACCATGGATCCCAAAAATCAAATGTGAAAAAAGAACAAGAAGTTCATGATTTTTGCAATCAATAACACTAAAAAGAAAACATAGAAACACATCCCGTTAGAGAAGGAATGAAGGGAAACCAAGGGTCAAAAGAAATACTCACTCAAGTTCTTGTCGAAGGGCATCAAAAAGTTCTCTTTTTGTCTGCTTCTCAGCTCCTGGTGTATTCAAAACCCTACTCTGCTCCACCATTTTTATTGTTGTATTCTTCAATTCTTCCTGCAAAAGCACAAGAGGCATAATTATAATTAGCTCCCCGGCAGAACCAAAACAGAACAATAAATTCACAACCCAGAAGAGGCACATAGTGTATTTTATCAATCAAATGAAAAGAAAGGAAACTAACATTGGCTTTGAGCTGAGTGATGATCTTCATCCGGATGGCATCAACGGTGCCATCGTTCATCAACGACTCCAAGACGTCTTCCGGGGTAATCAGCTGTTGAGAGGACGCCGGCGTCTCCATTATTGTTCTAATTCCTCGGGTTCCACCTTCCACCAAAGAACAAAAAATCAATGGGCTACTGTGAGAATTCGGAGGATTACGACTGACACCGATCCTATGTATGTCGGGGAAACAATCGCAAATACTTACAAAGTACAGTATTTGGGATTTTACGGGTTGAGGGAGAATTTCTTTTTGCTACAGAAGGTATTGTGATTCGAAAACACAAATAAAGTCCTTAATTTTGTAAATTGTTCAATTCAGTATTTTTTTTTCTTTTTGGACCTTTTTTTTTTTTTTTTTGAACCATCCTAAATTCTGTTCCTTTGCACCCATGAGAATCGATTCGGATCTCTCCTTAGAAAACCTCAAACGCTAACCAAATCATGTCACTCTGATCTGCCTTTAGGATCCAAATTATAGTTAGAGCATGATATAATTGGGATGGCATACCGCCATAATGTACTCATATGATCCTAGATTTTTTGCATGTTTTATTATAACCCAAAAAAAAAAGAAAAAAAAAACTCAACCGCTAACCATTAGCTCATTCTCGATTCTCACCTTTTGAACATTTGATTATATTATATTATTACAATATAATATTATAATCTAATCACTTTCTAACACATTTGGCCATTCTAATTATCATTAAAATTTCTATGATCTAGAGTTCTAGACCTTGCCACTTGCTGGAGCTAAACAATCACCCAAATTGTGATCGATATATTACAAGTAACTCACTATTCCATGAAGAAAACATAAAAATATATATAAAAAAAAGAAAGATATCTAATTCCATAACTCATTTTCCATAAACATTAATCAGAGAACTTTTGGATCATATTCTCTCTTTTGGGGGAGGAGGTGTGACATCTCATAGGTTACTAATAAAACATTATCTACAGAAAATATCATTTTGGGAAGTATTATAAAATAACATGATAATATTAAAAATATTAGTATTTCTATGTGATAACTCTTATGCACGTAGACATTAAATAAAAATATATTAAAAATAAAATAAAAATAAAGAACAAAAAATATAATCACTGAATACTTAAGCTAAAAAAACAAATAAAACTTTTTTAATGAAAGAATGTTTTCTAAAAAAAATATTACAAAAAGAGAAAAAAAAATTTAAAAAAAAAGACAAGAAGAGACAACGTGAGACCTAACATGAGACCTAACGAGAATTTTGGCGTAAATCATTATTAATCCCAAACAAAAGGAGCAAAAAGCTAAAGTTAATGAATAGTTATTAACAGGAAATTGTTAATTAATGAAGTTGACTAACTGAATGACCAATTTCAAGCACTTTTTATATGTGTAGTAACCTTCCTATGAATTAAAATTTGATAGTGACCAAACCGCGAACTTTCACATAGTTTAATGACCTTCGGGATAGTTCACTCTTTAAGGAAATGAGTAAATTATACATCATACCACTAAACTCATCCATTCTTTAGAAGTTTGATATTCAACATTTTTATTTTTATTTTCTTTTAACCGGTAATAATGTTATTATATTATGTGTGTTGTTTGTCATTTTTTCTTTTTTTTAATTGACAATAATGATATTTTATACCAAGAGTATTGAAAAACATCCAACAATAATTGATAAAAGAATTTAGGTGGAATAAACCACGTAAAAATAGAATATTACATATGAATCATATGAAAAACAATATTTTGATCCTTAGTCATGTGTAACAATCTGTTTTGGTTACTAGAGTATATTTCCTCCACAGTATTGCTAGTACTATCTATATCCTAAAAAAAAAATATTATCGTTGAACTAAAATAGTACAACAGAGTGGACTATTTTTTTTGAAACTAATGGGATACATCTTAAGTAAAAATCATTTATTTGGGTCAAAGTGAGTTTTTTTTCACATTAATACAGTAAGAAAGGATCTTGTAACCTAAGTTTAAGGGGAAATGACCAATTTTCTACCAAGAAGTAGGTTAATGATGTTTTTTAAGCAATAAATCCTCTTTTAAAGGATAAAGTGGGAAAATCTAGTAAAGAGTTCATCTTCTGGGGAAAAATCAATAAACTTTTAAAAGTTTTGGGGAATTTTCAAAACAAAAAAAAAAAAAAAAGTTTTGGGGAAAATCATTTTTGAAAGTCAAAGGTTGGGGAAAAAATCTGTAATCTTCCGAATTTTATGTCTGCCGGATTTTGCTCTTTAGCCCATGGGCTACGACCCACGAGCAATAAAACAAAGCTTCACAGATAAATTGGGCCAATGATTGCAATTGAGGAGTTTGTAAACCCTCATAAAATTCATTGATATAATTATAAACCCTAGTTTAAAAAACCACCATAACTGCCATTTCCAACCAGAGTTTCTTTTCACCTCAAAAGCATGGCGGGAGGCAAAATCAGGAAAGAGAAGCACCGCGCCGGCGCCGGCGGCAGCACTCCGCACTTCCAAGGAGGGATTCCCTTCCATAAGTCTAAGGGTCAGCATATATTGAAAAACCCACTCTTGGTTGATTCAATCATCCAAAAATCAGGCATCAAGCCCACTGATGTCATCCTTGAAATTGGACCTGGTACTGGTAACCTGACGAAGAAGCTTCTGGAAGCTGGGAAATCTGTCATCGCCGTCGAGCTTGACCCTCGTATGGTTCTTGAATTGCAGCGTCGGTTTCAAGGAACTCCCGACTCGAATCGGCTGAAAGTAAGCTTTTAAAAATTGGTTTTTTCGTATAATTCGTTGGTTACGGTATTAAATATTTAGTTTAATTTTTCGTTGGGTCGCTGTTTAGCTATACTGTTGAATGAGGTTGGTAAAATTTATTAGCCATTAGAAGAAGTGTTCCAAAGGGCTTTGTTTAATTGCTGAGGGATGGTTTTAATCTAGTCTCTCAGAAGTGTTACGATGGCTGTGAAAGTACATTTTTTTGGATTATGATTGAATTTGCCTGTGTTAAAGCTAAGAATATATTGATGAACTCCAATCTCCATGGGGAAAAAAAGGTTACGTTACAGCCCAGTTCTCTTGGAGACCAATGTCTAACCCATAACGGATTTAGAAATGTTGTTGCTAGTAATCTAAATGATTGCAGATGAAAAGTGGCTTATCTGAATTCCTTGTAGGTGATGGATCATTCACGGGCTATGATGCATATGAACGTGTCTAGTATCCTTAATTGTTTTAATCCCAATGATGGATTTCATTCCTGATGTAAATGATATACTGTTATGCATGATTGGTATAAGCTTTCAGACTTAGAAAAGTTGGAGGGAGTTTCTTAACTGTTGGATTGTAAACTTCCCAAGTATTATTTGTTTGGTTTGGAGTGATAGAGAGGATCTCCTGAGGAACCCATATTTCATCTGGCTTTTTGATGTTATCTGTTTGGCATTTCCATGTTTCATGCTTTTAGAGTCATGCCAATGTGGAAAGTATCATTTTTCCTCTATTGTTGCATTGAGGTGGACATGGTGGTTTGAAACATTGACCCTGCTACTGAATTTTCTTTACATTTCATATGATTTAACTTGTTTGAGTTGGTCAATTGCTAGTATAGACAATGATGTCTGCTTCTCTTGTGATGATCCTGATATTTCATTTGGGAGGGTTCAGTAGTGATTGTCGTACCTTGGTTTTACATCTGTCTTACATCATTCTCATTTGTGGTATCCTTGCGACTGAGCATTGTTATAATGTAAATTGCAGGTTATACAAGGCGACGTTTTCAAGTGTGACCTACCATACTTCGATATATGTGTGGCAAACATCCCCTATCAGATTTCTTCTCCACTTACTTTCAAATTATTGGCGCATCGTCCATTGTTCAGATGTGCGGTAATAATGTTCCAAAGAGAGTTTGCCATGAGGCTTGTTGCTCAGCCTGGTGATACTCTTTACTGTCGACTATCTGTGAACACTCAACTCTTGGCTCGTGTTAATCATTTGCTGAAAGTTGGAAGGAACAATTTCCGGCCTCCTCCAAAAGTTGACTCTTCTGTTGTTAGAATTGAACCAAAGAATCCGCTCCCACCGATAAACTTCAAGGAATGGGATGGCTTGGTTAGAATATGTTTCAACCGTAAGAATAAAACTCTGGGCTCAATTTTTCGACAGAAGACTGTGCTGTCATTACTTGAAAAGAACTACAGAACCTTGTTAGCATTGCAGCTTTCACAACAAGATTTTTCAGATGATATGGATACGGCTGTGGCTGTATCGGCTTTGGGAGAATCAATGGGAGACTTTGGCATAGATGGTGATGATGGGAGAGATGATGAAGATATGGAGATGGATGATGCAGCTACAAATTCGAAATCGTCTGATTTCAAAGAAAAGATTCTGAATGTGTTGAAGCAAGGAGACTTTGAAGAAAAAAGAGCTTCAAAACTTACACAAACAGACTTCATGTTCCTGTTATCTCTTTTTAACAAGGCTGGCATCCATTTTTCATGATCTGCTGCTCAGTTATCCAAGTCCTTATGTCAAGGGAGCATATGTAAAAATGAGAGTTGCTTTGTGTTTTCTTATTATTATTATAGTTTCTTCCAAAAAAATAATTTGATTGGAAATTTTGAGAGTAAGAATTTCAATTTATTTTACTTATCTTTTTCGCCTTCTTTTGTACAGAAATAGTCCACATTCAATTTTGAGTTTTGTATTATTTTTAGTACAAATTTACAAACTCAATGTGGACTATTTTTATGGGACGGGTAGTATTATTATTATGTTATAGTTGAGATGTAGTTCATTTGTCTTTATTTTTAATTCAGTTGGTGCTTTAGAATTTGGAGATGAATTTCTGCGATAATTTACTTTTTCTTATCAGTTTATGTTTGGTACTATGTGCTGTTGATTTATGCCCAAGTACCTTGTTTTATGGATGAAAAAAGATTTTACTCCACAATCTTCCGGTGAGCCCCTATAGCTCAGTGGTAGAGCGTCAGTCTTGTAAACTGAAGGTCTGTAGTTCGATCCTGCATGGGGGCATATTTATTAAACTTTTTGGCTTAATTTTTGGTTTTGTTTTGTCTGCCAAGAATCAGAGTGCTTAGAACTCCAAAGAAAATGAAAAGCGGCAACCGGCAGGTTCTCAAAATCTCAATTGCAGGATGATTGGTACAAGAATAGTAGTTTTTTTAACTTGATTTATTACTGCACAATGGATCTGCTATGGACTAGCACATCATAAATAAATGGCAACCTTTTTGGCTTTTTCCTGTTTTTGAAAACAACAAATTGCAACCAAAGATTAACACTGATTAATTCTAGTATTGTTATACAGCACTCTCTTTCTCTATCTCAATAATCACATACACGTATTAAAGGGGACTCCTACAGAAGCATTAAGCATCCCAGCTGAAGAGCCCAAAACTTTCAGAACAGTGATTAGCATGCAACATGTTTACTCTATTCCTCATCGGAGAAATGGTTAGCAAAACTTGATCAAGCTAGTAACAAAGCCGCTCATCTTTCAGTCTGAAACGGGTTCAAAGGCGGCAATTATGGCTGTGAAATATCGACTCATCCACATATACAAAACAATTTTGTGTCTCTGCCATCTTCAATATAAGCACCGAGGACCCTGTTTGAAGCTTCTGTTACAGGCCATCTTCATCTTTGTCCAAGGATGCTGACAAATAGCTCAAGATGAAGTCATCAATATCCCCTTCGAGAACAGAATCAGCATCTGAAACTTCATAATTTGTTCGGTGGTCCTTAACCATGCGATAAGGCTGGGAAAACAACAACGAAGAGTAAATAAAGTGGCTCTTTCTAGAAAAAGATCATCCACAAATCAAATCAAAGGACTTCTGATCCTTACATGTAGAATATAAGAACGGATCTGGTTACCGAAGCTATTTTCAGACAGAGACTGTGTATGCTGTGCATTAAGTTGAGCTTGACGGGCCAGCTCAAGTTTATCCAAGCGCGACTGGAGTACAGCCATGGCAGAAGCCTTGTTAGAATGTTGCGACCTGTCATTTGAACAGAAAAATTACTTCTCAGGAGAAACATGCATTGGCACAATTTTTTGAAACAAAGAAAAATCATAAAATGGTGTTTACTACCTTTCATTTTGGCAAGTTGCAGTGATCCCAGTAGGAATATGAGTTATCCTGACAGCGCTCTCAGTTGTGTTGGCGTGCTGACCACCGGGTCCCCCAGCTCGGAACCGATCTATCCGTAGATCAGACTCTTTAATTTGGAAACGGGAAAATCCTTCTCCAAGAATCGGGATCACGGCAACAGCGGAAAATGAAGTATGCCGACGGTTAGCACTATCAAATGGTGAGCAACGAACCAAACGATGTGCTCCATCTTCTGCTTTGGCATATCCAAATGCATATTCGCCTTCAACTCTAATGGTAGCCCGCTGAAAACAAAGGCGCGATAGAGGTCAAAAGTTACCACTACTGGGAAATAGAAGTTTCACAGGCAAATAGAAGCTAACGGGCCCTTGCCCAGCCTTAAACCACTCTACACAATGTCACAGAAGATTACTGTCAATACAGAGTCTCGCCTAATCTAGAGACAAAATGAAATAACAAGAAACCACAAAATCCATGGACACCAGGTAGCTGAAGAAGAAGTATCCAAAAACATGGTAATTAGAACTCCATCGACGTAAAGATACCGGATGGGACCAAGACAGTTTGCAAATCTTGACCAATCAAATTTCTCTATTTCAGCGATGGGAGATATTTGAGAAATGAAGTAATGATAACCATGTGAATGTACCAGCAGGTTATTGCATAACTTAGGTACTGAAACATGCTACTACTAGAAGGGGAAAAAAAAAGTGTGATACTACTGTTTCATGTAGTCTATTAGTGCAGCTATTGTAGATTTTCCATCAGATTTTATGCATCAAAGCAGAGTAGTTTCTGACTGTTATGAATGAGTAAATTGCACATACAATTGAACACCAATGACGTTTGGGTTTATTAAACTTTAGCCTTAAAGCATGTGGGTGATTCTCAGAAATACGTAAGAAAGTAATGGATAACAATGTCATAAGAGGTTCCTTGTGAATCATATTGATGGACCGGATGCTATAAGTTTTCCTATCTATCTTGTGCTAATGTATTCGATCAGTTTGCTGACCTTGATTCCGGCAACTTCACCAGGCATCTCATCCACTATTGTAACCTCGTAACCCTTCCGTTGAGCCCACTTTTTATACATCTGCACGACCATTGAAGCCCAATCCATGCTTTCAGTACCACCAGCTCCAGCTTGTACCTAGTGTAGGACAAATGTACAGAGTGAATGCAGATTTTCAGCAGACAGAAAAAGAACAGCAACTATGGAGAGGCACAAAGAATAATCAGATAGCAGTAGAAAGAAGCACTATTGGTGATTGCTAAGTTGATGAAATATGATGTTTACAACCCTTTTTTACCCCGAATATAGAGGCAATCGTCAAAGTGCTCAGGAGTAAAACGATTCAATTAAGGATGGAGAAATTAAAACTACCTCTATGAAGCAAGAGCAAGAGTCATGTTCCCCAGATAATAAAGCTTCTAGCTCTTTCTCTTTCATATTTCTTCTCATCTCAAGTAAAGCCTTCAGAGCTTCCTGCATTACAAAATTATGTATTAAGCAACGCATGTGGTTTGAATCTAATTCAAGATGCTCCAGATACTTTACAATTGCTAAGCAGTTGACACAGTCAATTGCTTTTAAGTCAATAAAAGTTCAATCGTTCCAACAAAAATGAGGATTCGACATAACCTAATGAGTAATAGTGGTCCATGGTAAGAAAGAAGTTTTCCGGGTATGAAAGCTGATCTAACTCGAATAATGAACGATGATCAGATACTCTTGGCTCAGAATGACAACTTTGTTCCACAAATTATGCCATTATCTATATGAAGATAAGACTTTAAAGGAAGAAATACATGCCTAAAAGAAGTTTTAAGGGCCCACCGATTCCATTTCTGCATCGTTTTCCTCACGAGATAATTTTATCATGTCAATATGTTCAAATAACTCTTGCTCGAATGCCTTGACTTCATTCATCTTCCCTGTAAGAAAACCATGTTCACGGCTTATCTTGCCAGCACGAACAGGATCATCCCAAAGGTCCTGTTTATCCAGTTCTTCTGATAATGACTTCACCTTGAACAATAACTGCTTCCACTATAACCAAAGAACCAAAAAATAAATAAGGATAACGGACATGAGGAAAGATCAGAAAACCATACAATACAACCCATTCATGTCAATGAAGTTTTACCATTGAAAAAATGGCAACCAAGTAGGAGATAACAGAAGTATTATTAATCCAAGTCAACTACACGAACAAAACATGAGTTCTAGCAAAACCTGAACCCACAGATCGATCTCTTATAACAAAAGATACACAAACTTGAAGCTACTATTCAATGACATACCAGATGCGAGATTCCTGTCCATTTTGACACTGACTTTGATGGATAATTTAATGTTTTACACGCCACATATGAAATTTGAGGAAAAACACAACAAGTGGATTGATGCAGTCATAGTTTAAGCTAAAATTATGACTTATGATGCATAATTGAAGAAAAGGAGAATGAACCAACATTAAACAACAGAAGCATAACTTGGAAACAAACGAATTTCCTCGCTTATCAAACCTAACAATTATACATCTTCTAATACTAACCATGCACAAACCAAGCCGGAATCCATAAACAAATATCATTGTTGATATTACAGATTGGAAAAGATACCTTCAGCCGTCTCTTAGTAAGATGAATGGACTGTGCAATAGCAGAAGCATGGCTTCTCCAATCACTCTCATCTTCACCAAGAACGGTCCAATTCTGCGCAATGATTCCTTCCACAGTGAGCCCATCTGAAGTTGAGGGCTCAACAATGTCAACGTCAGCTTGAGACTGAGAGCTACAAAAACGCACGCATTTTACAGAATCAACATCACTACAGGAAACTCCAGGTGAAATTTTCGAGCTTGGAATCAAAGACAAACAAAACCCATCACTTCTTTTGCCCAAACACGAATACCCTGGAGTGAAACACGATCGGTTTTGGATTGAAGAGGAGAAATGATGAGATTGAGATTGGGATTGAACTTGTGCCAAAGAAGCAAGCAAAGAAAAGCAGAATTGAGGCTTTTGTTCAAATGATGATGATCTTCTCAATAGAAAAGAAAGCATCTTTGGAAGATGCTATGAAATCCGGTTGTTTGGGAGGGCAAAAACCAAAAATTGGCTACCCTTGAGGTTTAGGCATAGGGGTTTTAGCTGGGACCAAAAAACAGAGGGATTGATTAAATGGCGATAATGCCCCTAATCCGCCACCCCACACCTCAAATATTCCAATCTTTCGGCCAAGTCCGCCGTCTTCCTCCCCGCCTTTCTCCGTCAATGGCGACCCTATTGAACAACGACCCTGTTGGCGTCACAAATTATCCCGTGCCCCTCTCCCCACCATTGCCCGCCATATCCAAGAACATAGAGCTCAACAGAGCCTTAACTGCTTCATCAAGATCGGCCCTTTTTACACTTTCTAGGACTCATGTGCTTTATGAGGATCAGTGGCTAATTGCTGTTAACAAACCTCAAGGAATTTACTGTGAGAATGTCTTGACTTCTGTTTCCAGTCTTCTCACAGATGTCAAAGACTCTGGTAAGGTTTTGAATTGAATTCTTGAACTGTCAGTTCCTTTTTTCCCTCTTTTGAATGTGTTGCACCAGGTAGAAATAGTGATAGGGGAAGCCAAATATAGGATGGCAATTTAACTTTCTTTTTGTTCATAGTGCAAGTATATGGCAGAACAAGGGCAGGTGAGATGGATAATGGAAATGTGGTTTGTTGAAAAGTTATGTAACTAAGTTTAATTTGTTTGAACAAATTATGTCTTTCTTGTTGATCCTTTGCTTTTTTTTCTTTCATTGATGTGAAAAGTGAAATATATACTTTAGGGTGGGTGAATTTTAGCTGATTTAGTTCGACTCCGTTGATTTAGCATGCTGCATTTTGGTTTTCAGAAATGCAAGTGAATGGAACAGAGCTTCATCTAGCGAATAGACTTGATCGGGACACCAGTGGTGTTATGTTGATTACCAAATCACATAAAGTTGCTGCCAAGCTTGTGAAAGCTTTTACTGATCACAAAGTGAAAAAAACATATATTGCATCCTGCATTGGTGAAGCTCCAAAATGGGAAAATATCACAATTAGGTCTGGTCATGGGAGATCTAAACATGGGGCCTGGCGTGTTTATGCTGCATCAGATGTTGGTAAGACACTACCAGGTGGCTCAGTTATTAGGGATATGGAAACTCTTTTTGAAATATTATCTGTAAACAGGCAAGGGAAGTTTAGGGAGTTTTCTAGCTCAGGGAAAGATGCATCTCAAATTGTAGTTGTTGAAGAGAAATCTGGAATAGATTGCAACTTGAAGAAAGATGAGATTTTGTTAAGAGCTTATCCTAAGAGTGGGAGAACACATCAAATTCGTTTGCACTGCCAATATCTTGGGATTCCCATAAGAGGAGATGTAAAATATGAAGGTGTCTATGATTGGGAGGGTAAAATATATGATGGCCATGAACTCCATGCTGAGAGTTTGTCCTTCCAACATCCTGTTACAGATGAAAGTGTATTGATTCAAGCACCTCTACCACCATGGGCAAACTTAGTATCTTAGTCAGGCACAATATATTTGGATGAATTGCTGTTGTTAAAAAAGTAGTGAAGGCTTGCAAAATTTGGAAATCCTTCAGATACTTAAGGGGAAGTTGCTGAAGGTGTTCCAAGAGTGGCAAGTTTGTGTCAGATTGTCCGTTGATGGGCACTTTCCTGCTGTATTATAGTATTCCTGCTTACTGTATTAGTGCTCTATTGCACCTAATTATTTAGAGTTTGTTGCCATTGTCATTCCTCAGTAATCTTTGATTTTCTGGGTGGTTTGACGAAATTGCATGGTTGGTGTTCTATGACTGAAAAGAAAGCTTTAAATTTGAGATTGAAGTTGTTTCTCTGAGATCATTGGTTATTTAAAATCCATAAAACACTTATGTTGTCCAGCTACATTGTGTACATTATGTCTATGTTATTAAGTTTCAACAGTTTTATTACCCCTCAGTGGAGCGATTGGGATTGGCTTTGGTCGAGGAGAACACTCCTGTATTCTTTTCTCGGAGTTGTTTATATCTCTTCTATCATTTATCAGTTTGTTTCATCTGCACTCCATAGACAGGAGCAGTTTTGTTTTTGGTGTTGCAGTGGAAATGTTGTTGATTTGGATAGAGTAAATAAGAAGAAATGAGGGCTGTACTTAACAGGTGAGGAAATAAGAATGAAGGTTTCTGTCCAACTCCTCTTGGTTCCCATGAGTTGTTGTTCTCCCCTTTTACTTCAAATTGGAATTGATGGAATGTAATTTATGGAATCCCCTCAGACACGAGGAAGGAAATGTCAGCATTGCATGTAGTGATAGTGAAGACCACTGCTGGAGTACCTGTTGTTCTTGCTGCCAGCGCTTCATTGCATTTCTCTTGTTGCTATTACTACTGTCAGGCAAGTTTCTGAATTCCTCTGCATTTATATTTTCTGTTAGAAATCTTTATGTCTGTTTCTTCTTTTTGGTGCTTGGTTCTGACTGTTGATTCTAACATGCCGCAACAACTTTATATCGGTAATTCTGAGCTTTTAATAATGAAATAGATATTATAAGTACTTTCTCTCTTTTCTTCTTCCATCCAGCAGCTTTTAATAATGAAATAGATATTATAAGTACTTTCTCTCTTTTCTTCTTCCATTCAGAAGCTTCCTTTTATTTTGACAATTAATATCAAAGCCACCATGGGGAATCAAAATTTAGAGGAAAATGATTAATCCAGATAGGTTCTTGTAAAGTTATACTACTACTGAATTGGCATTGTGTTTGTGTTATGGAATTGCCCTGTTTCAGCTTCTTTAGCCTACTGTGATTTTCTTGCTGCAGTTGGTGCAATACTCGATTACAAAACTTTGATCTCGTGAATACAATGAAAGCACTTCATTGATTTCTTTATTGGGGCTATACTTACAGGTACTCTCTGTTGACAATGAAGCCGGTAAGAAGTGCAGCTCTGAAAGTGGACGGGAACATACGATTATCGTATACATATGTCTGAGGCGTGTAGAAGAAATCGGTCTCCAGGCTCTGGAGTCAGCACTATGGCTGGTGAACACAGACTACCACACCAAAGAGACTAATTCATGGAAATAAACTCAACATCAATGGGGGCCTCTTGGTGAAACTCATAGCATTCAAGCTTTCAGTTTTGACTCCCTCTTTTTTCAATATTCTGTTTTGCAGGATATGGAGGTAGGTTTTCTAAAAACAATGCTCCTTTCCTAGAAAAATAATCATGTCACTGAGTCATACTTAAAAGAGTTCCCTTTTTCTATAAATCAATTTTCTGCATTTCAGAGTGTTTCATACTCCATCTGGTATTTCTTTATCTTTTATCCTTTGAAGTTGCGTGCTTGTCAACTTTAAAGGGAAAAGTTCATTGAATGGCATTATTATAGGTTACATTGTACTGCCTGCCTATATTTAGTTTAGCGCGCTTAATTATACATCCCTCTCTGCTGCCTTATTGATTTTATAATCTCAGCTCCAATTCTTGGAGACGAGACGACAGAATACCTGTTTTGCACCTGGTATCTGTTACCTCTTTCGTGGATCGTACCACTTGATATGAGCCTTGAGGTAGCCAATGAGATGAAATGTCCTGATGAAAATGCATTTTATTGGTTTTTACATGCATAATTTTTCATGGATTTGGAGTATTTATTTCGCTAGCGTACACAATTTCGTAGTTCATCATGTCGATATTTGTCCAAAACCGGAGATTGATTTCACCGGGTTGTTATTTAGAATTGTGGTGTCCCAATTACTTTGCCTCCTTTTTCCCTGAGCACAATTGTTACTATATTGATAGAAAGCTTGAGCAATCTATATATCTGTTGAAGTAATATGTTTTATCGAGATTCATAGACAAGATCATTTTTTGATGGAATATAGTTGATATTTTGCAACTATCAAATTACAGTCAATATTCCCAATCACCACATACGTAGAGACACGAACTGTCAGATTATCGTCAATATTTCTTCCGTCTCAAAATGATTGAGTGCTATATTTATTTTTTTTTTTGATAGAATCATTTTAGTGTGGCCGTTTGCTTGCCTTTCAATTCAAGATTCAGCATAAACGAAGAGAAAGCCCGCACAATTGATTTTCATTGTAGTCTTGTAGATGAAGGAATCTTACAAGATGCCGGCATTATTCGCTAGCAACGCATCTGCTTTAGGCTTTATAAGTACTTGTATATACTGTGGTTACTCTCCTCTTAGTATTTTTGAAGAGAAAGGTTAAATTAAATTATGTTTTGGTGTATACTTTGCATGCGTTTTGTTTTTTTTTTTTTTAATCAAAAATAAACTTAGGCCACCATACATTTGGTATAAGGATACATGTACTTAAATCACGACAATTCTTATGAAAGGATTAGAGAAGATTTGGGTCAGTGTCTCTTCTTAAACATTCCCCTCGTTTTCTTCTGCGTAGTCTTTCTCAACAGCTCTCTCTACCTAAACCCTAATTATACTTTTTCCGGTTTATTTAAAGGACACGATATAAAATGATTATCTAGTTTAACTTTTTTACTTATAATATATTTTGAGACATAAGAAGACTATATAAAATAATTTCTAATAATTCCTTTCTTCTTCTTTTTTTCCCCCTTTCACAATATCTACTCTAACTCGTATGTTTACGATGTTTTGTTAACTGAGTGAGAAAGCCATGGGTGAATTTAGTTGAGAAAGTTTAATTAAATTAACACTATATTGTCCCACTCCAATTGTCCTTTTTTGTTGTTTTCTTATGTCTTCCCTGTTTCATAAAAAAAATTAACATTGTAAATTGTAAATTTTATTAAAAATAGTATAATTCATAATTTTAGTGTGTACTAAATTTTATTAAAAAAAATACAATTCATAATTTGTAATGTGGTTAGAGACAACAAATTAATTTTAACTTCTTTTTTTTTTTCTTGTAGGAATGCTTTATTTGTTTTCTTTTTTAGTTGATTTTTTCAGAATTAAATAATAATAACTGTCTCATTCCCCAGTTATTTGTGATGATATAGAGAGAAGTCGTTAAGCAGAAACTTTTCTTGTTTCGATTCAATTTCGTACTTCTCGATTTTCTTGCAAATGAGTGGGATCAAGGGCTTCGCATGCCCTAGCCTCCATGTTCGACACAAGTAGAACCAGTGGCTATTCTGAAAGCGCTTATTAAGATCCCTACCTCTATTTGATGGACTTATGTGCACGTTGAGGATGAACTCAGAAAGGGCTGTACAAATCTTTGAAAGGAAGGAGAGAGTTTGGTCTCAAGAGAAAGAGATACTATTATTAATTTAGCTCCTATTATGAGTGATGTAAAAAAAAAAAAAAAACTAAAGGTAGGTAGGCGAGATGTTAGGGAGGCACATGTTTTAGCTTGTAGTGTATCTTCTAAACCTCGATGACGATATTATCTTTTAACCAAAAAAAAAAAAAAAGAGTGGAATCAGAATCTTCTAGAATCATTTTTTAATATAAAATTTATTTTTATTTAGTGGAAAATGATGATTTTTGTTCAACATTAACATTTAATATGTTCTCAAGAAAATTAGGGCTTGCGAGATCAGATATACGCATGCCGACCCTTGTAATTATATAAAGAGATTGTTTTCATTGCGATAAGGGTTTTTGTTCTTTGAGTAAAATTTATTATTCGATAAATTAATAAATTTAAATCTTATATGCATTACATTCTAACTTTTAAAAAAAGCAATGATAAAGACAATGAAAATAAATTTTGAACTAGAATAATGACTCGTGAAAGTACTAAAACACCAAAACACTTTTTCAATAATGACCAACCTAGTAAGAGTAGTAAAGTATTTATACATATGTTACATAAGTCACTATCTCATTTCACTATTTACTTTCTCATATATATGTATGGAAATTTCTATGGTCCAGTCGATTATTTTTAACTGAATCATTCAGTTAAAGCATAACAAATCAAAATTTGACACATAAAATGTGTTAATGGGGCGAGAAACATGATAACAATGTCCAATATTAATCCTTTAACTTGTAATTAAATTTACGAAATAGAATTTGGTCATTCTTATCCTTCTTCATCCAAAACCATTTTCAATTTAAACCATCATTACCCAAATCGCCGGACAAAAAAATACACAAAGATCTAAAATTTGACTCTTTAGCACTGATTTCAATGAAAACTCACATAATATAACTGCAACATATGATCTAAATAATCAGGGTAAAAAAAGAGTCAAATCCCTGTTGATTACAAATCTCATAACATAGTTCTTATTTTCATTTTCATATGGTAAACAACAGAACAAGTTAAAAAAAATGCGATTTTTCTTCTAAATTTATTGTTATTGAAACATTGGAAATGAGAATAAGAAAAATAGGTGGAAAATGAGAAATTATGGAGTTCAGGAAATGGATACTAATTAATTTTTATATGATAAAACATTTGGTGTTTCAATGTATTTTATATTGCTTGGAATTTGGCAAAGAACAAACGAAATGGAAAAGCCTAATATTATTGAGAAAAATTCAAACATTTTGGACTAATTTTGATGTTGAATACCAATACTCCGTGGCTTCCGATAAGTATAGTTCATCTCATGTGTCTGGCTAAAAGAGACAGGTTTGATGGTAATTATTAAATGAAATAAGTTTGATGACAAATTTATCCCGTGTATTTGATTGTAATTTAAAAAAGTAGATATGAGTAAATTTATCCAGTGTGTGTGAGTGTTTTTAATTATATGTTTCAACTTTCTTAATCTAACGGTTAATATTCTTTCTTTTGATCTAACGGTTAATATTATATGACTGAATCGTTCAATCAATTGGACTGTAGTCGCTCTCTATATATGTACTAGTGATGTCTGGTCGCGTAATGCGCGACCCTGGCCCAATATATATGTAGATTTTAAAAATGTTTGTATTTGGAAAAAAAATATTTTGTATTTGGCCCGATATATTTTAGAAATATTTGAAGAATTTTAGAAATGTTTTATAAGTGTGATGTTTGTATTTGGCAAAAAAATAAATTGTATTCGGCCTGGTATGTTTTAGAAATGTTTGAAGATTTTAGAAATATTTTATAAGTGTTACTTCTTAAATATAAATAAACTTGATCAAATATATGTCTTGAAGTAAATGCTAGAAAAAATATAAAAGCATCCTAATAAGTTTAAATATTAGTAAGATAATTTATTGATGTTCTCCATTGGTTGTGCCAAATCAATACTTAGTTTTGGAAATTTATAATAGCTTTGTAGTTAACTTCCTCCAAAGGGTATACGCTTAATTGTTGGAACTATTTCTTCCAAAAGTTTATAGGTAGTAAAATATCAAAAATATGATTTTGAAACTGGTTGATCACAAATATGAGAATGAAAATAATGTAAATTTGCATAGGTTTCAAGATATAGCAAAAAAGAACTCACCTCACATTGGCAAATAAAAAAAAAGTAAAAGATAGCTCATTAAAATTTGAAAATTTTTAATATTTTTTTTCTGTAGTTAAAAATGATGTATAAAAACACAAATAAACATAGAAATATTATTCCTTCCCTCTCCACCTCAAATTCATAAAAGGATTCACCATAAATTAGTTAAAAGAAGCGACTTGAACTATTTATATGATGAGGAACTAAAAAAAGTCCAAAAATCAAATACAAAAAAGTATATTCTTGAAACCCTGAACACAAAAAAAGAAACGTGCTTCATTTACAAATAAAATAATAATAATAATAATAATAATAATAATAAGAATAATAATATTAATTGGTCAACTGGGAGTACGAAATAAAATCAAAAGTAATTAAACAAAGAAAAAACACACTTCATAATTGGCCATATACGAAAAAACCTGAGACTCCATAATTAAAAAAAAAAACCACTCTAATTGAATAAAACATAAAAAAACAAATTTAAAAAACCATGTAACAAAAACCCAATCAATCAATTCAATCCAAACATAACTAAAATCATATAAAAATTCTAGGCTAACTAACTAAATAAGAAATCACATCATACTACATGACAACGGCTACGGTAGCTGTAACGGATGGACGCATAAAAATAATAGTAATAACACTATTCTTGAACGGGAAAAATAAAAAATAATAAAAGCCAAACTAATAATCTGTGGAAATAACATAATTTAAATTTTAACACCTGTAATGGCACCACCACCATAACGCCCGAAGCAAGATCAATGAGATTTTTTTTTCCTTTGTATTTACATAAAGAGGTAAAGAAAATATTTTTTGAAGTTGAAATTTTATCCGATTAAGATGTAGTTGATCATCATTAATGAAAGGATTGAACATGCTAATAGGAAAGGAGTATATTTCACCACATATTCTCAATTGATGATTGATGAGGAATTTGTTTTTTTTTTTAATTGTGGAGAAATGATTGATTAAGGAATCGATTGTCGTGGAGATGGGGATGAAAATTTGGGTTTTTTATGAACCTGTGGTTTTTTTTTTGTTTGTTTTGACGAAAATAGGAGGTGAAAGTAAATTTAGACTGCATTTGTCTTTTAAATTTAGGAGATGTGGTAATAAAAATTTATTTTAAAAATATGATGTAGAAATGCCACATGACAAATAATGGTGTTTTCTCTTAAGTGTGGTTTTTGTTCTTATTATAGTAAGATATATATATATATATTATTTTTTTAAAAAAATAGGATAAGTCACTTCTTCTATCATATAAACCTGAAAAAGTTACCAATATCTAAAAGATAAACAAATTTAAATTTCAAACTTTTATTTATACATAAAAAAAACACTATCTCAAAATTAAGTCTCCAGCTACATGATCTTCTCCGACCTCTAGACTATAGTATCGCACTATCTCAAAATTCATTACTCTCTCCTTTAAAAAAAATGTAAATTTAATTTTGAGATTTATACTGTTTTTAGTATCAATATCAAAATCTAATGTGAAATATTTCTTAATATAGGTATCAAAATTGAATATGAATTTTTTTTTCTTGGATAAAGTATTTTAAAAAATGTGGAAGATTCGTCATGAATGACTTGTAATTAAATTATCCAAGAGTCGTTGTAAAAAAATAAGTGTAATCATGTCAGTGCATAAATATTTTTTATTTTTAAATTTTCATAAGGTAATTTACTGTCCTTAATTCAAAGAACACTCGAAGAGTTGCATCCCTTTTATTAATCTGCGTCCCTTAATGCAAATTTTTCCAATAATATAGTATTATGTGTTAATTAAATACTGTAATAACTTTTGTTTGCGATGGTGTTTTAAAATAGATCTATTAGTTTCGTGTATTGTTATTGATTTCCCTTGTTCCGTTTAATTTTAGTTCAAAATATTAAGAGTGATTTCCAGAATTTGATTATTTTGTAACAATATAACTTATAGTTTTATTGAAGGGAAAAAAAAACTAATATAATTCTAGAAACCTTTTCTGTTCCATGGAAATAGTATATTTTGTTGCGACTATCTTTTTCTACGGGAAAAATAGAGGAATCTCACTTTGGTCAAGCCGTTAAATTTCGCAAAATGCAAATAAAAAACCTCGACTTAGATGAATTCCATATCAAGAATTAAAGAAAATGAAAGCATATTTATTTCATTAATTCTTATGCCCAACTGGGGCCCACACTTATGTGAATTAAAAAAAACACAGATAATTCATTCAAAAACCCCAAAATGGCGAAAAACGTCACTATAGTGACCAACAGATTCAGTACATCTGCTTACACAGGTTTGGACGTACAGATTCGTGGAAACTCCCAATGAGAATCTGCCACGTCACAACAATGACTCTTGGATCCTACGTGGAATATTGTTATTCGCCCACGTCATATGAATTGTTCCACGTGAGAATTCCACCTAAAATCTCATTGAACGTAAAACCCAAAGGAACTGAAAGAAGACTCCTATCAAACTACGAGCTATAAATACGCGCCCTTGACTTTATTCATCTCGCATCACTCAGTTATCACTGAAGAAGTTTCTTTCCGACTCAGCCATGGCTACGATGCAGAGGAGGACGATAAACCCTAGCTTTCTGTCGCTGTACATTGCTCTCGGTCTTTTGTTCGCCTGCGCTTCCGCTAAAGTCTTCTTCGAGGAGCGTTTCGAAGGTAATTCACTCCCTGACTATAATGTTCGAATTTGATCGAGATGTTAATTTATTCGTTTTAATTTATGTCTTTTTTTCGCTGCGAATCGTTTTTGAATAGCTTGATACGATAAGATCGGAATTTGATTTGCGTGTTATACATCGATCTCAATGTTATGGAATTATTTTAAATTGGTGAAGCAATTTGTTCTCTGATTCTGCTGTTTGTGTAGATCTGTTGATTCTGATTGCGTTATCGCATTATTTGGGTTTGGTTATTTGTCTCTGTAGTTTATTTAATGTGAATTGCTAAATTCGTTGACCTGAAGCCTTGTTTTAGCGCTCATACGCTACATTTTGCTGCTGGTTGATTAGTCAATTTGACGACTGTGGCTTGTTTATTCAGATGTCTTGTGATCATATTGAATGTTACTTGTACAATTTGACACGTTAGGAACATAGCTATAATGGAAATCTTTTACTCTGGGAGATATGTTATGAGATGTTGTTAGAAGTATTAATGGAATGGGATAAAAGCACATTTGGACATTAAGATTGCTTAATGTTGCATATGCCTTTGTCAGGTTTAGATTATGTTATTTCTGTTGAATTTTTTATTAGTGTGCAAGCCGAATGCTGTTATGTTCTGGTGCTTCACAGTATTATGTTGGGAGAATTCCTTAGCATATTTCTACTGTCAGATAGAGCCTTTCCTTCAATAAGATAGATGTTGCTTCTGATACTGAATGTATGATTTAAATTTCAGATGGATGGGAGAATAGGTGGGTGAAGTCAGAGTGGAAGAAAGATGAGAATACCGCTGGTGAATGGAACTACACTTCTGGTAAATGGAACGGAAATCCTGATGATAAAGGTAAGTTTGCCCAGTAGTATTTCAGACTCATTGCTTCATACATTAAGCATCAGGACACAAATTTTGACTCTTTGGCGCTTAATGCAGGTATTCAAACCAGTGAAGATTATAGATTTTATGCCATTTCTGCTGAGTTCCCTGAATTCAGCAACAAGGACAACACCTTAGTCTTCCAGTTCTCCGTCAAGCATGAACAAAAGCTTGATTGTGGTGGTGGATACATGAAGTTGCTTAGCGGCGATGTTGATCAAAAGAAATTTGGCGGTGACACCCCCTACAGGTCATCTATGTGTAATGATTGTTTTTATTTTAAGGTGCTTAATGTGCGGTATAGTCTCTGATTTGTAAGTTGTTATTTGCAGTATTATGTTTGGACCTGATATCTGTGGCTACACAACCAAAAAGGTCCATGCTATTCTCACCTACAATGGGACAAACCACTTAAACAAGAAGGAAGTCCCATGTGAAACTGACCAATTGACTCATGTCTATACCTTCGTCCTTCGCCCTGATGCAACTTATACCATCCTGATTGACAACGTTGAGAAGCAGACTGGTAGTTTGTACTCTGACTGGGACCTTCTCCCACCAAAGCAAATTAAGGATCCTGAGGCTAAAAAAGTAATTTCAGTTCCCTGCCCTCTTTGGATTAATGTTATTCTCCTTGAAAATGTTATTAACTTGGCCATTTTTATGATAGCCTGAAGATTGGGATGATAAGGAGTTCATTCCAGACCCTGAGGATAAGAAACCAGAGGTAAATAATTTATTCAATCTCCTGCCCTCGATATGTTTGGAAGGTCGATGTATTTGTGGTTCTAACAAGATAATTGTTCTCTCTCTGTAGGGTTATGATGATATCCCTAAGGAAATTCCTGACCCTGATGCCAAGAAGGTAGTTATTAATTGATTACTGATATCCTTTTCATTTTATTTGTTCTATATATCCTGTTCAATGGATTAGATTATTGATTGATTGCCTCTATGTGCAGCCTGAGGACTGGGATGACGAGGAAGATGGTGAGTGGACTGCCCCAACCATCCCCAACCCTGAATACAAGGGTCCATGGAAGGCAAAGGTATATTGAGTCTGAATTGTGCTTCTGATCTCATCAGTCCAAAGGATGAGTCTGTTTTCTCACTAGCGCGTTTCATTTTCCAGAAAATCAAGAACCCCAATTACAAGGGTAAATGGAAGGCACCCATGATTGATAACCCAGGTTTGTGATCTTTCTTTTGTCTTCAGGCTTTTTGTAATTGTACATTGACTAAATCTAATTCTTGATGAAATGTTGCCTCTCTCTACAGACTTCAAAGATGACCCAGAGCTGTATGTTTTCCCCAATTTGAAGTATGTTGGAATTGAATTGTGGCAGGTATGTTTCTATATTTATACTTATCTATGATCACATGTTTTCTATTATCATGTTTTGAACTGGCCTATAAACTGACGGGAGTCTTATATTTTCAGGTGAAATCTGGAACCTTGTTTGACAATGTATTGATCACTGATGACCCTGATTATGCCAAGAAGCTGGCTGAGGAAACATGGGGCCAGCAGAAGGATGTATGTTCTCGTTTAACTTTTGAGAAAAGTAAGATTCAATTGTTTTTTTTTCTCTGTATTTGACATGTGGGAATGGTGGAATTTCAGGCTGAAAAAACTGCATTCGAAGAGGCAGAAAAGAAGAGGGAGGAAGAGGTATAATATGTCTGGATACCTGTTCTTTAACTCATTTATGTTTTGGATGAAAATCTAAGTAACAAAAGTTTCTAAACTCTTCGCATTTTCTGTTAATTGTTTTAGGAGGCAAAGGCTGACCCAGTTGATTCTGATGTAAGTCTCTAAAACTTTGAAGAACTGAATGCTTTCAGAAATAGGACATGATTTATTCCCACTGCGAACATCTATTTACATTTGTGCAACCTTGTTTTTTCTAGGCTGACGATGATGATGACGCTGACGATGCTGAAAGTGAGGCTGACAGCAAAGCTGACTCAAAGGATGATGTTGATGCCGAAGAAGAGGATTCGGTTAAAGTAAAGTCACACTTAACTTTGCAGTTTGGATTTGACCAAGATCTTCAGCTCTCAAATAATGTTCTCTAACTTACATTCTTTTTGACACTTGTACAGGACGAACTGTAGAGAAGAAATTCATCGGTTTCCATGGTCGGCCCAGCATTGTGTTCACGAGAAGAGCCTTGTGCACGATTGAGCAGTCAAAAATTTTCCTTTAATTTTGTTGTTAGTAGCCAGAAGATTTAGGATTAAGAAACAATGTGGCTGCATCAAGAATGTGATATACTTTTTCCTATTCTGGTGTTGATTAAAGAAAGCCATTAGAATGAATAGTGGGACATGCTTTGTTTTAGTCTTAGCTATATGGATAAATCCCAGATTTGAAATTTTCAAATTGTTCAACAGATGTTTCAATTCTCTCAGTAGCAGTTCTGTCTTCCATATACCAAACTTCTGGAGCCACCGTGAAAGTATGAACTTGTTGATGTCTTACACTCTTATCATTAGACGTGGGCACACGTCTGGCTCCGTGGTATGGGACATTTTCAATAATAAGTACCAGTCCAATATCCTTAATGATTTAGTGTGGTGACAAGATGGGAAAGTCAAGGGTATTTGTGATGTAAAAGCCTCTTAAAACATTCCTTCTACGTCAGGGCGAAGAGCTGACTTTCCTTTTAGATAAGGATCGTGCCCTGATTTCAAAAATGCCAAAAAATTTCCTGAAGTGTACACTTGACATGAAATCCTTCTACGGCGCTGATTTTCTGGCAGAAAAAAGTTTGTGATGTGAAAACTTGACTTCGCAAACTGAAATGGAACCCGCAGAAAGTGTGTGATGAACTTCAGAGTGTAGACTTTAGTACATAAATGGTATTCACAATTTTAAGGAAAGGAAAAAAGTATACGTTCAAAAAAAACAAAGAGATACACGTTAGAAACGTACAATACAATTATACAAATTACAAACAGAACTGAAAAACTCTCATTACATTCGCAAAATCACCATTTCAAAGTTCAAACATGCGAAAGTGGAAGATACAATCACAAGGAATAAAACATCCACCAAATACATTTGAACCACTAGGTAGACTAGTCATGGGATTTTGGCTTCTTCACGATCAGCACCGGGCACTTGAGATTTTGTGCACAGTGATTGCTCACGCTTCCCAGGAACGCCCTGCCAAACAATTTGTATGAGAATCCTAAATTAAAACCATTTTTTTTTTTTTACGAAAATCTTAACTATAATTCAGAAACTGTCGATAAAAAAACTCAAGTTTTGATATGGACTCAAAGCTAGATACCTCTTGATGAGGCCATAGCCATGGCTTCCCATGACAACAAGGTCAACATTTAGCCTCTCCGCAACTTGGCAAATTACGTCCCTTGGATCTCCATTTACGACCTTCGTCTCCACCTTAATCTGTACGCCGCAATTACGAGGGGAAAGAACGAACTCCCAAATTAGTTCCAGTTCATTCAGTTCATCTACAAAATTACCCAATTCCCCGCCAAGAAAACTAAGAAAAGAAGAAGAAGAAAGGCTTACGTCGTCATTCAACCCAGCACAAGAGTTCTTGGCTTTCTCCATAACTTGATCTGCCACTTCATTGCTGTACCTTTCCATTGTTTCCAATATATCTGCAGAAAACAAATACCCTGCCAAAATATTAACAATATCAATTAGTCTCCAAAAATTCCAAGATTTTACATCATTCGAAAAATACCCATTTCTTCAGCTTTTATCTCTTTCGGGTTTTCATTGATTTATGTTTGATTTTGGACAGCTAACACTATAGTTTATACCCCAGACGAACTCGTGGCCAACCTAATTCCCAAAACCAGAGTAATTTTAACTTCAAGAATCAAAGAACAAAAGAGATTTTGATCATGAATAGCAAGCAATACGGACCGGATCCATCAAGAGCAGAGTAAACAGGGCGTGGAGGTTTGGCGAAGAGGAGGACAAGTGCATCTTTGGAATCTTGATTCACAATGTTGTTGAGACACCACCTCAGAGCATACCCGCTCTCTTCACCTTCATCCACCGCCACCAGAATCTTGCGTCCCTTTCTCTCTCCAGCTGCTACCTCAGCCATCGAATATTTTCCTGATTGACAAATGCTTCAATTTTGAATCTAAAGAAACAAGTGTTTATCTTTTTGCTTTTTTGCTTTTGGTTGGTTAATCTGATTTGTTTTTCTTGTAATTTATAGTGTGTGACTGTGTGTGGGAGTTTGAGGCGATGAGGATGGTGGCTGTTGGTTCCTATCGTCTTGATCTTTCAAGGTTGAATGCTGTTGGCGGTTTGTGGGTTTTCGGTTTCGGTCATGGTTTTCATTTTGCTTGTTTTCGCAGTTTTTTTTAATCCTCTGTTTTAGTTTCTGGGTTGTGGACCCGAACCCGTCTGATTAAAAAATTGTTCCAAGTAAGTAATGTCAATTACGCGTAGAACTGTTTGATGAAATTCCCCACTCAGGCGTGATTGCTAGAAAATTCTCTGATTGGCAGAGTATTCGACTTCTGGAAAGCCCAAGCTTGCAAGAGAAATACTCCATTTGATAGCCACTTGTACACTTTCGCGATACCGCACACATAACTACACAATTATCATTGTTGTTCGCATAATATTGACGGCCATGTCGCGATCAAATTATTGAGTATAGTATGAGAACAGTTCATTTTTTACCTGATCACTTTACCAGTTCTTCCGTGATTGCTGCTCTGGTGCTAGTAGGCGTAGGCAGCTCCACTGTGTAGTGATAAAGTCAGGAACAAAAAAGACTCTTTCAGTTGTGAATGCTCTTATGTCAGTTATGTTAAGCGTTCGACCTCACCATTTGTGTTTGTCTCTTCATTAGAGGGATCAGCAAGGAAGTTATTTGATGAGATGACTGTAAAGGATAATCCGACCTGGACCACAATCATCACGGGGTACGTGAAAATGATGACCTTTAATACTACTAAGGAGATATTTAATGGGATTAATGAGAAGTTGGTGGGTGCTTGGAGTGCAATCATATCAGGATTTGTGCACAATGGACATACTCATGAAGCGCTAGAATTGTTCAGAAAAATTGTATTTTTGGGGGGAATAAAGTTAGATGAATTTATATTCACTAATATTCTTAGCGCATACGCAGATGCTGGATTCTTTCATCAAGGAAAGCAGCTTCATTTGTTTCGTACTTGTGATTTTAGATTGACCTCAATTTAGGAGTTCGGTAGCATTTTGGCATTGTTAATGACTTGATTGGCAGGTTAAGAGTTGAGGTGGATTGGGTAAACCAAGTAAACAAACAAAATGTATAAACTTGATATAAATGTTAGACAAGGAAACCAATAATGAAACCAAAAGACATCCAGAAAGAAAATCTCCGACACCACATTTAGATGGGGCATGGGGAGAAGCAAATGGCTCCTAGCATAGGTAATGCAACGATGACTAACAGACCTTAGCCCTAGTGCAACAGCGGGACTCCAGGGCGGTCCAACTCTTTTAAAATTATTCCGTTGGAGATTATACACAAATAATCCTCGTCTGCGGCAATTCATCCATAACTCTCCATTGCGAATGAGCACCGGTTTCACACATGCTTCAACCAGTTTACCTGGCATGTCGGACATGCGTAATCTAAGCTTCCATTTCCGAACCCAAAACCAACTCGCGTAATCCTCCAAGATCCATATATCAATCACTCCCATCCGACCTTTCAAATTGCAGAACACCAAATGTTGTTCATCATTCACTAACAGATGCATTGCAAAATGACACACCTTTTCCGAGCCCGGGATGGGGCAACACACAGAATTCTTCCGAGTCCATCTCGAACACAAGGATCCCACACGCATTAGGTGGATCAGAACTCATCTGATCAGCAAATAGATGGCCCGCCATCCAATGCAGATAACCATTACAGATTGCTGGGGTCCATGCTTTGAGTAGACCAAGACCAGGTGAATAAGGAAACGGCGGCGGGTTTATCATTCCCCAATTGTTTGTTTTTCCAAGAGTGTAACATCTACATTACTATAAGGGGGAGTTTATGACCGGACATGCACCTGTTTAGGTACGGTGTCCGGTCACTCCCCCACACCGGTCTTTTCTCAATTGGGTTTCTCTCTTTCTGTCCAACTTTGTGTTCACCTTTCTCAATTCTCTCTGCACGTTGATGGCAAATTCATAAAACCAATTCATGAAAGCAATTGACTCATCGATATTGGCTCCTTGCCCATGGATTTTCTTTCAAAATCAGAAATCCCCTCCTTCAATCTTGAATTCCAATTCTTTTAATAGCGAAAAATCTGCCTTTTTCAAGTTGTGAGTCAATCTTGAATTGTATTGTCCGGTCACTCTGTTCGTGACTGCCGGAGGTACCTGAAATGATTATTTAGTGTTTGACTTTTTTTGTGTGAGAGAAAAAAAGTAATGCATCCTAAGTATTTGATAGTCCGTGTCAAACAAAATAATGCAGAGCTTGTGCTTTACCTAATTATTAGGTAAACAAAAGGTAACATCTTAAGCTGGAATCATTGGTGAGCATTCACAAGGGCCGAAGAATTGGGGAATGGGGTTAAGATGTTCAGGTTTGTACATTGCTCTGATTTTGGATTTGGGAACTAACCAAAAATGGTTTGTGATGAATTGATAATATGTGATCATTTGGAACTGTGAATCAAGACAGGGCTACCCTACTTGGCACAACAAAGCAAGCAATCCATTTGTAAACTTGAGAGAAGAGTACAATGGGATCTATTGGCAAGAGGAGATCATTCCATTCTTTCAGCAAGTAACTCTTTGCAAAGACCGCACACTGTTCAAAAGTGCTATGTTGAGCTCTTAAAGCAGGTGAAGGAGAAGTTGGGAAAAATCGACCCTTACTTCACCAAGCTTGCAGGTGCCATGATCACATCGATTTAAGCCTGGGATGAACTCAACCCCAGGCCACACAACGTGTGGCAACCTATCCCAGTGATATCGCAAAGGCTTACCCAAGATACCGCGGCAAAAAGAACTTTTAAATTCATTTCTCCTAGAATGGTAAAAGAAGCCACAAAATACACCCCGGCCAGGACGATCTATGGCAAAATGTTCTTGTGTCAAAGTAAAAATGACTCTGGAAACCAAATATAAGATATCCCCCACAAGATGACATGAGATCCGTAAATCTTTCACGGAATATCATTCTTTTACCACTGAATCTTAACTTACTGATCCTCAATTTCCGAAACCTTGTACGTTCGTAAAGAAAATAGACCGGGTCTTGTTGCGTAAAGAAGCCGCCGTCGGTCGCGGTCTTGTTGACAGGGGTGGCTCTTTGAATGTGCAATCTGATGAAAATTGGGGATGTGGTTATTAATGATTTCCATTGTTTGCAAACATTCTGGGGCAAGTTAGTAAGGATTCTTCAGGTAACCAGCTGAGTATCTCTATCAAAACATCATCTGGAAGATATACATCACTTGTCTTTTGCGGATGCAATGATTCTTCAATGCCCGGAACTAACCGATACAAAACATCCCACAACCATGTAAAGCACCTGAATGACATTGGAGGCAGGCAGGCAGAACGGAGAATTCTAATGATACGGAAGGGAAAGCCTTTAGAAGTTGTTAATATATATAAGGAAGTTTTGGGTGAAAATCCGATTCCTGTACAAAAAGGAATTTCGGACTCGGCTGGAGCCGTCAAAATTTGAGCTCGACCGAGCCGGCTGGAGTTTCTCCTTGGCTTGGGGAAAAGGTGGAAAAGCATTAGATCATTATTTAAACCCCAACACCCAACCCCCAAGGATTTGGTTTTATTATAAAAAAACATCGCCTTTGCCGCTTAAACTAAACAGGGGAAAAAAAGGAGACTTTAGAAAATGGACACGTCATTTGTGATTCTGATATGAAGACACGTTTCTGTGATTCCGCCACGCGCTTCTTCTTCTTCTCCTTCTTCTTCATCCTTGCCTCTTCACTTGCATTTGCTTTCAATCTTCATCCTCATCAGAACTTTGGGTTTTGCGGAGAAAACCACAAGGAGGACGCTGTTACTAGTGAACAATCTCAATCGTCAATTCAAATGGCCGCCGTTGGAGCCCCCCACGATTCTTCTCCGAATAGTAGTAACTCCGCCGAGATCGAAGAAATTGCTCGATTCGCTGTTGAACAGCACAATCACAAAGAGGTTCGTCAATTTCTGCCTTTCTTACACTAATCGCTCTTGATAATTTTTACTATCAGTAGATGTATGTTTCTCCTTTTTTTAGTCCATTAGTTATGCCTAGGGTTCCGGTACTCGAAACTAGTTCAATGGGTCGTTCGACCTTATTGCCCGCCGGTGAAACCCATCTCCGGCCAAGGCACAAATTAGTTTTGTTTCTGGTACATATTAAGTTTTTGGGGTTTTGTTAAATTGGCTGGGCTGGCCCAATTCAATTAGTGCCCTTTTCTTTCTGTAATAACTTATGCACGATTCCTTTCTAGCAAAACTCTGTTGATTCACTTTTCTGATGGAAAAAATTGCTCATACTTTTTTGGTTAATTGATAGTTTTTGGTTTTTTTTTTTTTTTTGGTTGGTTGATGCTTGATTCAGAATGCGGTGGTGGAGCTGGGTAGGGTGGTGAAAGCGGAAGAACAGGTTGTATCCGGTAAGTTACACCACCTGACACTTGAAATCATTGAGGCTGGGAAGAAAAAACTCTATGAAGCTAAAGTGTGGGTGAAGCCCTGGTTGAACTTCAAGGAGCTTCAAGAATTCAAGTATATCAAGGACGTTATTCCATCCTTTACTTCCTCGGATTTGGGCGTTAAAAAGCCGGATCGAGCTGGATGGCGATCCGTCCCTGTTCACGACCCGAACGTCAAAGATGCAGCTGAGCATGCCCTCAAGACCATCCAGCAGAGGTCCAATTCGTTGATTCCGTACGAGCTTCATGAGATTGTTCATGCTCAGGCTGAGTTGACTGAAGAGTCTGCGAAGTTTGATATGCTGCTTAAGCTGAAGAGGGGTGAGAAAGAAGAGAAACTCAAGGTTGAGGTTCACAAGAACAACAATGATGGTGCTTTCCGCTTGAATAAGATGGAACCAGACCGTTCTTGATCTTGTCCAGTTGATAGATGATGACTTTTGGCATGTAATATCTTTAGTGTATTATGTTTTAACTTTGGAAATGGGGAATAATATACTTCATAGGTTTTGTATTGCTGGACTTCAAATGATGCGTCTTCATTGTCTTTGGTATGTTTTCAGTCATTGATAAATTAATATAGTCATTCCGTCCCAAAATAATTTTTCTGTTACTATAATGTAGCTACTAACTACCCTTTCAAAAAAAAAATAAAAATAAAATTGGTTACCTTTTCACTTTTGGATACAATTTCCAGTTCTTGCACTATTTCCATTGGCATATAAATGTCGCCCTATGGAGTGTATAATTTTAATTGGAGTTTGATAATGCCTATTTTGATCTGATTTGATTCAATGAACTAAACAGTTTTCGGAACGTAATTTGAATTTTGCTGTGATAGTTTTCACAACATAATTTTCCCAAATGGAAACAAAGCGCCAAATTCCAAACAGCTTGGGTTAGTTCATCAAACATCTAACGCGCACACACAGTCACACAGTGACAGAGAGAGTACAAGTAAGCAAACTACAAAGCGTCACTTAGTGAACTCCGCCACCTCCAATCCAACGGACCACTCGAAGTCCATCTCCTAAAAGTCCCACCCAATTTCCTCTGCTCTATTAACTTCTCTATAATCATTTTCCTCTCATTCAAGCTCTTCACCTACTGTGTGAGTGCGTGAAAATCCATTCGCCAAAAAATATGCAATCCGCAATGTCTCTCTCGCTCTCTTCTGCTTCCCCCATTGTCAGATCCGACGTCTCTTCTTTTACCTCGCAAGCTCCGCGATCGCTTCGTTTCTGCGGTCTCAAGAGAGAAGCAATCTTCGGACTAAACAATGCTAATTCTGCTTTTCGTTCCTCTGCTCGATTGGTTTCATCTTCTTCTTCTTCTTCGCTGAATAAGGTGTTCTCGAGGAATTTGAAGATATCAGCTACTTCCTCTGGTAATGGCGCTCCCTCCTCCGAAGGAGAATTCGATTACGATTTGGTGATTATTGGCGCTGGAGTTGGTGGTCATGGCGCCGCTCTTCACGCCGTTGAGAAGGTAATTAGTTTGAAATATTCAAGAATTAAGCTAATTTATCCTTTTGTCCTTTGCTTGTCTTGCTTTTTCTGAGATGATCTTAGACTTACGGATTGTGTCTGTTCTTTGTTCGACTTGTTGTAGGGTTTGAAAACGGCTATCATTGAAGGAGATGTAGTTGGAGGAACATGTGTGAACAGGGGTTGTGTTCCTTCTAAAGCTCTCCTAGCTGTTAGTGGCCGGATGCGGGAGCTTCAGAATGAGCATCACATGAAATCCTTCGGTTTACAGGTACCTCTAATCTTTATGTTGCTAAGTTAGTGACTATGGTTAGTTCTGTTGGACATTCGGTGCTAATTGAACTGTAACCATACACACAAGTCCTTTCAGTCCCATGCCAATGCACATTCAAATGTCTGTATCCGAAAATTTGCACCAGCATCTTTTTTATTGGCTCATATTGATACTGGAACCTTAATGACAGGTCGCAGCTGCTGGATATGATAGACAGAGTGTTGCTGATCATGCCAATAATTTGGCCTCTAAAATCAGAAATAACTTGACCAATTCGATGAAAGCTCTTGGTGTTGATATACTGACAGGGGTCGGGACAGTTGTGGTAAGTTTATTTATTGCTCAAAATGTGTTTCTTTGGTCTAAATTGTTGTTGTTGACAGAGAAATAATCATTTTTTATGCTTTTCTTATAGTGCTTTCCTTTGTTTTCAGGCTCCACAAAAGGTGAAATATGGAAAAGCTGGCTCTGAGGGTACCATAATAACAGCCAAAAACATAATCATCGCTACTGGTTCTGTTCCCTTCGTGCCAAAGGGAATTGAGGTGGATGGTAAGTGCTTGTATTCCCGTCTTTCTATCTTAGTTCAGAGATGACTGCAATTTCTAATTTATCTGTTAGTTTTATGAAATGATACAACTGTTTCTTTGATGTTTAAATATGACATTTCTGCCACTTGTACGTGTGTGCTTTTTAGAATCTAGAGGGGGATAATTAAGTAAGCTTTACTTGTAGGTTCTCAACAGCTTGCAGTTGGGGTTTCGGCGGTTGTTTTTTTGCTTAAATAATGGGTTGGAATCATTATATGAAAGATGGATTTTCTAAATAAATGCATAATGAACCGTTTGAAATGCGATTTAGAAATAAGAACTGTTCTATTTTAAATAAAACTTCACAGTGAACTAATGAATATAATTTTTGTGATTTACCAGAAGTAACAATAACCAATCTTTAATTCTTTATCAGCGGCTTAGGGGAAAATGATATTGGCTAAGAAAAATTTTGCTTTGCACCAAAAGAAGCTAAGAAAATTTGGCTTTGCACCAGAAGAACATGACATTTCCTCAAACTTAGATAAACTGTTTGTCCTAAAATCTTTATAGTTTTGTTTCTCAAATTGGGTTCGGCACTTTGTGGTTGTATTGTTTGATCATGCCTTTTTATTTCATCTTTGTTTATGCTTTTTTACAAGATTCCATCTGTCATTCATTATTTGCTGGTCTTTCTTATTGATTTCCAATATTTTCCTCTTTCCTCATGTGCTCTATTTGCTACTCTCAAACCTTGAATTCCTCTGTCTCCTATATTGGATAACTAAGATGCTACTGGTAGTTGCTTGTAGGTAAGACTGTGATTACCAGTGATCATGCACTCAAATTGGAATCTGTTCCGGACTGGATAGCTATAGTTGGAAGTGGCTATATTGGTCTTGAATTCAGTGATGTGTATACAGCACTTGGAAGTGAGGTGAGAAGATCTTGTGCTGAACTTTAAATAATTTTTTTTTCTTTAAAAATGAAAATGCCATAATAACATGTCTATTGGTTGCGCTCATTTTTCCGATATTGCTACTGGCAATGGCAAGATTGTGCCATTCTACAACTTTGTTGTAATTTCTCTGCTCCAATGTTTCCTGATTATGAATAATTTTTCTTAAACTAAAGAAAAACTAGTAAAAAAGAAATACTTGGCAAAGAAGGTTATTATTTGGTATGAACCCTGAAAATCAAACAAGATCCAAGACTGAGGGATTGCAGAAACCACCGAGTTGCCAAGTATGTACAGGGTAATTTATAGCTGTATAAAGATACATATAAAAATAGCCACTTAAAAGAAAGATCACGCAATAGGCAATGATGCGATGCGTTGAGCACTGAGGAATAGAAAAATGCATCATACATTGTAATACCTGAGAACAACTCGCATTAAAAGTTCATCGTAGCTGGTGTGCGAAACTTCTACTTGGAATCTTAATGTACTTCCAACATTTTTCACTCCTCATAACAGTAAACTGATGTCATGATAATCATTGACAAACTTTTAAAATCAGGTGTATAATATCTTGTTTTCCTACTTAATCTGATTAACTTGTAGTGGCTAATTTTCTGACTGAAGCTGAGCGCATATTTACAATGCAGGTAACATTCATTGAAGCTTTAGATCAGCTGATGCCAGGGTTTGATCCTGAGATAGGCAAGTTAGCGCAGAGGGTTCTCATAAATCCTCGCAAAATCGATTCTTATACTGGTGTGTTTGCCAGCAAGGTAGCCTAGACCTTATAATCCTGTTTAAAGTACACATGCAACTTCTCTACCATTATCTAAGCACTTCTCAATCTGATGGTCCTGTTTTTGTCAAATTCTTTCTATTGCTCGTACAGATTACTCCAGCAAAGGATGGAAAACCGGTAATAATTGAGCTTATTGATGCAAAGACGAAGGAACCAAAAGATACGTTGGAGGTAACTTAAAATCATTTAGCTTATGACTTTTGAGTTCCTTGTAACTTATGTCACTGTTCATGGAACATCAAAGTACATTTTTTCAAATGAAGGCGAGTCTCGGATAATAGACCTATAATGAACCAGTTGGTCATTAAATTGATTCAATCTTCTCAAAAAGAGTAATGAAACTCTAGAGGACATAATTCATGAATATCTTCGTTAATTCCACGTATTTCTTTTAGTTAAGTTCCTTCTCACCTTTCCTTGTTTCCTTTATTCAAACTTACTTTCTGGTACCCATGCTTTACACTTTACACAAATGTTATACTGTCAACTGCAGGTGGATGCGGCACTGATTGCCACCGGAAGGGCTCCATTTACTGAAGGACTTGGTTTGGAAAATGTTAGTTGACTTGGATATCCTTTCACTGTAGCAACAATCCCATCGATGTCTAAATGAGATATAATCTAATTTTTTGCATATGGCTGAAATATTTCAGATCAATGTACAAACACAACGTGGTTTTGTTCCTGTCGATGAACGCATGCGTGTAATTGATGCAAATGGAAAATTGGTCAGTTATCCCCATCTTCGCTTGTTGGTTAGTTAAACTTTGTCAGTACATCCTGTGCTTTACTGACATGACTTCATAATCTTCAGGTTCCTCATTTGTATTGTATTGGTGATGCCAATGGGAAACTGATGCTTGCTCATGCTGCAAGTGCGCAAGGAATCTCTGGTTACAACCCAACCTTATCGTGATTCTTTTTAGCTATCTAACTGTGGAAGTGGTGATGATAACCTTGTTTACTTGCATTTCTGTAGTTGTTGAGCAAGTTTCTGGGAAGGACCATGTGTTGAACCATTTGAGTATTCCAGCAGCATGTTTCACCCATCCAGAAATCAGTATGGTTGGGTTGACAGAGGTACTAATACTTTACTAGTTCTAATTCTGGCATTGCCTAGTTCCTTGTGTGTCTCCAAAAGCACAAGTATGTTTTGCTTTCAAACAATATCTGATGGATTTTAGCAAAGGTTTTGAGAAACGAGTTTCATTCCCTCCAAAACAAGGTCCCCTGCTTTGATTATTAACTATTTCTTCATTTTTGGTGAAGACTGATGTTTACCCATTTTTGGGGAATGGATTGGATTACAATCTTTAATCTAGCAGTAATAAGGGATCTCTCTTCTTAACTGAGACTATTAAATCTAGAAGTATTGTAATATTTGTCATTGCTCTAGACTTCGTAAGCCATGCATCAATTTAGGAGACAGGTTTTAAGTTATTCTTGAGCTTTTAGTTTCCTAACACTAGCAAGGTTAATGTGAAAAGTTGGGCTTGCGTAATGCTCTCCACTCCATTGTTGTCTTAAATGAACCACTTGCATTTATGACACATTTGGCATCAGTGTGGGTCTTACGACAATATTTTTTCTACTTTAAACTTTCTCTTAGATTAATCTGAAATTGGTTTCCCTACACTTTGCTAGTTTTGGTGATATGTATGTCAGTAGTGTCTGGTCTTGAGAATTGTTGTAAAGAACACCTGGACTGTTTTCTCTGTTGTTCCATATGAAGAAGCTCTGTACTAATGTTTAAGTTACGTGTATGCTCTTCTTTTAGAAGTTTACTGGAAGCTACATTCATAACTAATTGGGTGGTTAAATACAACTTTCTCCAGCCTCAAGCAAGGGAAAAAGCTGAAAAGGAGGGATTTGAAGTTGGCATTGCCAAGACAAGCTTCAAGGCCAACACAAAAGCTCTTGCTGAAAATGAACCCGAAGGACTTGCCAAGGTAACCCCCAGAACCATATATTTACTATGACTTGGCATATATTTTGAATAACTTGTAGCCACAAGATTTTTTCAGTTGCCCTTGTTCTTTTAGTTCCGTCTCTTGATCTTTTTAATTCTTACTGAAACCTGTCTTTTTATGCAGTTAATATATAGACCTGACAATGGGGAGATATTAGGAGTTCATATATTCGGGTTGCATGCGGCAGACCTTATACACGAAGCTTCTAATGCTATAGCTTTGGGAACACGTATACAGGTTAGGATGCTTTCTAGTTCAAATGCTTATATGGACACTTTCTGGTTAAATATAGGCTAAAAAGATAACTAATTTTGTAAGAGTAGAAACATAAAGTGAAAATAACTATCTGTAGATTCCTTACAAACCATAATGTGAGTTTGATGTGACTTGAAGTAGTACATCCACCCATCAACCAATTGAATTATGTATGACAAGGGAGATCAATGAATTGCGTTTTGAGACCCATCGTGGTTCTTTTTGCTGTAATTCAAAGGTTGATCTTCAGCATAAGAAAGTCATAAAATTGCCATTTATACTTGGGCCTCCTTATCTTGCAAATCGTTGAATGATCCTTTTCTTTTCAATGTTTCTTTCTGTTCCATTCGTTTAAGTTTATAATCTGGTGCATCTTTTTGGACCAGGACTTAAAATTTGCTGTTCATGCACATCCAACTTTGTCTGAAGTGCTTGATGAACTCTTTAAAGCTGCCAAGGTAATAGCTTAAATATTCTCGTTCCCTTCTATATCATTAAAAAGTCCTCTAAGAATCTTCTGCCAACATCACAAGATTGCCTAATTATCTATAGAAGTTATTATATGAGAATGTGTTTGTAACTCTGGCCTGAAGTTGCTATAGTGAGAACAAACTAGGTTATCTCAGTTCCCTCACCAGAAATTCTGGCGGACGGCATTCAATAGTATGAACTGAACCTTTTGTATCTAGCCTGCAAACTAACATGAGAAAACCGAATGCTAGAAAGAGAATCTCACTAATTTACATGTACACGTTGCAGGCAAGTAAGAAATCCTCCTTAGGTCCTGAACTGAGATTGTCTCTCATTTTTCCCTGGTACACTAGTCAAATCTATTGTGCTAAATGTGCTCTAACACACACCACGATTCAACTCAGTGTAGCCCTATTATTCTGATGTAACCTTAAGAGTTATTGATTGCTTTTGATTCCAATTCGTCATCTTTTCTTGTGGCAGGTTGAAGTTGACGCTTCTAGTCCAGTGGGTGAGCCAGTTGCTGTCTAAATTTAGAATGCAAGTGTAATGTTATGGGAGCCACATTTTTCTAGATTGCTGAAGGCTCTCCGAGCTGCATTAAGTTACAGATAATCATCATAGATTGCGATGGCTTGTATCTCCATATTTTGGTTGGAAATCTTCCCAAGTTACTGCTGCTCGTGCCAGGTTTATTTATTCTAGAAATAGAGATGTATTACTTCATGGTGGCGCAGAAAATATGCTTCTCATGCCAAGCAGGACTCGTAGAACAATAGGAATAGATTCTGGTGATTCTGGTTTAGAGAGCAGATTTGTAGTAGGATTTTGTGGGATGAGAATAATAGAATCATATATTTAGCGAGAATCAGTTGAAATCTTGTACTTGAACATGTGAAAGATATGTGCGAATGCTAGACCCGAAACTGTTCAGAAATTTTGACCATGTTCCTGTACTTCTTTCTCTATTCAACTGTTTTCCCATACTACTTTTGCTCTGAACTTATCAAATGCTTGCAATGGTAAAAAAGAAAAATGTAAAATTAAATACTCTGCTAGTCACTTTTGGCAGTGAAGTTAACTTCTTCCCCAGCTGATGGTGTCATTTTGCCCTTAATCTCATCAAGGATAGACCATAATACGCCCCCCGGGATAGCGGAAAGAGCATTTAATTGCTTGCTGCTAATACTATTATTCACACGATGACGAGCTTCAGCTGAAGTAAAGAGCTTACGCCCAGAGAAAGGCATTGACATCGCAGTCGGGATCCGACAAGTATGGAAAGCTCGCGAGGAAGAAGACGAGGAAGGTGGCCGAGCAAGTTCATTAAAAACCAGCTGATCTTTTTTTTCTTGGCCCCCATTGAAAGATGTTGAGGATATCTACAACCAGCGAGAAAGCAATGATGAATAGGAACAAATAATCTCATATATTGAGTACAACTCAGGCATGAAATGAGATCGATATAAAGCAAAAACAGGGGCAACGTACAACTTTAATTCTTTGTTACACTGAATCCAATCTCACAAGTGTCTAAGCGCTTAACTCAATGCTCTTTCTGTCTCGAAATTATTGTCCAGTTATATTTCTTTTCTATACAAATTACCACATTTTGCTTCTTATCATTTTGCTTCAATTTTTAGTTTACGAAACAAATCTAAACTCTGCTTTGTTAAGTCCTTTGAAACGAACACAGAGAATACACAAACATATATATAAGCACCAAATCAGGAGAAGAATCTCACTTGACTTTGCCTTGACTGCAATATCTGATCAATGGAGCAACGGAGTTTCTCTGCAAAAGAGAGTGGAAAAGTGGGAAGCAACTGTTAGATGGAGTAATATTCTTGTCTAGAGTTCTTAGCCAAATGAATATTTGCACTCATTTATGGACTAGAGAATCAATACCTGCATGCCGAGTTTTCATCCCAATGCGAAAGCTTCCCACACCACCAGCATTGATAGATTGAGTTAAAAACCAATACGATAAGTTATGGATGGAACTATAATTTCCGAATCACTTCAGCAATGAGAAGGTTAAAAAAATGCATGAAAGCGTACCAGAGCATGTCAAGTATCTTCTATCTTCAAATCAAACCCAAGTCTCTTCAACATGACTATAGTACTTCGTACCATTACAGGATATGGATAGAAGCGGGCCTGCCAAGAAGAGACAACGAAGAATTGTCAGCTTCAAATTTGCTAAGTGTGAAGTCACAAAGAACACACAACAAGAAGAAAATCACAAAGTTTTAAGTAAAAACACAAATGAGGGGGTTTCGAGAGGGTATACTCAGATCAGATCAGAACTATCCACATTGTCACCGCTGGTAGGAACAAGCAGCTTGTTCCTACCCGCAAACAACAGCCCGGCAAGCTCCACAAGCTTCCCCTGTCGAACTACAGAGCAACTTATTTCCTCCAGCTCTTGTGTGTTCTCAGTAAGTAGTTTTACTGTCTCCAAGGGAGGTTGCTGCAATGCAAAAATGATAGGAAGTGTCAGACATTACAATTTACAAAAAGGCTAATCTTGAAATGAAAAAGGGGAAAAAGGTTTAGGAGATGATTACTAGTTCTGGGATGCAATGACAATAAATCAACTTAAAAATGGATTTGGAAGGATCCCAATCACTCAGATAGTCGTCTTTATTTCCGCAATGCAGATCAGTGCCAGCTCCATGGCGCAGAAACAAAGCTGTAAGGTTAGAGCGCAAGTTTTCGGCCGCAAGGTGCAACGGGTAACAACCATTTCGGAGTGGCACATTAAGATCAACAGCGAGTCCAGTGTTTCCTTCCAGTAGTGCAAGGGCACAGGCCCGGGCATTATGAGAACATATCAAACATCATTATGTCATCATAATGCGGCAAATTTACCATAGAACTTAGAGACTATTCTTCTTCTTCTTCAAGTGGCTCCGGACGAAAGACACAAAACCAATATGATCAAGATTGCGGATAATCTCCTATTCTCCTCCAATACCTTCTTATCTACCTCCTCAGGACTATTGTTACCTTTACTTTGTTCCTACACCAGTACAAAATACACAAACACATAGATTTCATCCTTGCAAAAAAAAAAAAAAAGGAAAGAAAAATTACACATAAAGAGTGTGTTCTCCAAGAAAAAAACGGAGGTAGATTGTAACTCTTCCAATATATTCTTCCAATTCTCTAACAAAATAATCTTCTTGGTTGAATTAAAACAGTACAGTTCAGTGAATTTTTTAAGGTACCGGAAAATTATTAAAAGGAAAAACACTGAGTTCATCATGCCAATCTGATAACTTACAATCAAAATCTGTTACGTGATCCAAACATGATTACCTCATCCATCTCATGGAGTTGTAACGGTGGCGGCGGCGGCGGCAGTGGAGCGGGGGAGAAATGGCTTGGGAAATGAGCGGTGGTTGATTAAGCCTTTGAAAAAGTTTTTATTTGCAGCCTCATCAAGTACAGTCCAGCCCAACCCAGTTATTGGGGGCTTCTTTTTAAAGCCATCAATTCTTATCATCATCATCATCAAAGTTTATCTTCAATTGGGAAAGGGGCTTAGGTTAATAATGGAATGGGCGGAGAATACAGAGGAGACGGAGGAGGAGGAGGAGGAGGAGTACGTGGAGAGCCTCCCCTGGCAATGGTTGGAGGCGGGTAACTTCGAAGCTCGGTTAATTGATTCCATGCGATTCGATAGAAAAGACGTGTTTCTCAAGTTGTTTAAGCACCTGGCACATGAACAACAAGTGCTTCAACTTTGTGGGCTTCAACCAGTTTGTGATCATCCTTTGTCTGAGCTATTTTATTTCAACGCTGCCAACTGTTTGGAAGCAGTGCTGAATGGAGAAACCCATGGATTTTTGTAAATCAATGATCTCAATGCTGTTCCATTCAGCCAACACAATAGACAACTAGTTCCTATATTGCATACCGCGGCTTTCTATGAGCCCATAACATAACAAGCTTGTGTCTCCCTGGAAATGAGCCTCAACTCAACCTCAGAGTTGATGTGGATGGCTTCAAAGGTGTCCTTCCCCTCAATTTAGCCCCACTATGGATATCGGAACCTGGTCCAAAGGAGCCAGAGCGACTCGTCTACAAGTTGATTTTCCATCTTTGTATCCCGTGTGGCGTTAGTCCTCCAAAACTCTTTATCATATTTGAATTGAATATATATATATATATATATATATATATATATATTCAGTAGTATACATTTTTTTTTATTGTTTATATACCTGATATCTCTTACAAGTTACCAGCACTATCATCATCACGCCATACTAAAAAACCTAGGAATATCCTTTTTCAAAAAAAAAAAAAACACCTAGGAATATTGTAGCTGATGGGAACAAACGGATCACAGGAACAAGAAGAACAAGTGGACTAAAAGACATAGTTTTTGAAGTTGTAAAAAGCTTGAAATTACATATGCTGATGCACAACGTCAATAACTACTACTCCCTCCGGTGTTATTATAAGAAGTCATTCTAAAGATTCAACTAGTTTGTTTTTTCTAATTGAAAAACAAAAGCTTAAAAATGTATTTTCACATTTATTTATAACGTGAATCTTAAGACAAATCAAAATCCTTTATAATAAAGACCGGAGGGAGTATTGCAAAACTTCTTTTCAATTTATATAGCATAGAGGTGTCATGCTAGTTTCCTAAATCCAATATGCCTTAAACTAACTAATTTAAACGAGAACATTAAACTAAAAGGAACCAACCACCCCCAACCCCCAAACTAAAACCTAACATCAAACTACCTTTACATTAATTCCTTCATCAATTCTTCTCTTTATGAAAATAAACTGGTCTTCGGGTTTTGCGTTAGGGTTTCCTCTATCAAAAGTAATTCCTGCTGAATGTTTCAATATATAGCATCCTTTTTTACTTTGAGATATCTTCTCTGTTTGTCTTCTCCAAGCATAAAGCAATTGTTGGCTTGCACAATTTGTGATCTCATTACTTGGTAGTGCTTGGATGGATATTCAGAAACTAACTCGAAAATCAGAATATTTTGTTGAATTCACTCTTCCAAGTTTTCATAATAGGCAAGTGTTTTACTGGAAACCTAAATTTCTTGAACTTGATCTTCATCTATAGCGCTCTTAAAAGCAATTCTTCAAAGCTTTTCACTCTTTCAATAGCCTCTTTGCTTGCTTTCTTTCCCAGGTAAAGAATTAATCATCATATTCCAGAGCAGCCTACTTGGGTTGTGGTATCTTCTTCTAAGTACTATGTTATTGTCAAACAGATTCTTTGAGATGTCCAAAAGCAATGTGCTAAATTCTTTCTCCTCTAATTAACACAAGAACTTGCTGGTCCTTTCTCGGACATGACCCCGACCTGTTTCACGAACCACAAATTTCTGGCTACTCCACACAACTTCCGCACTACAAATTTCCTTTGTCTTTATGCTAAGCTGAGAAGACAACTAGAGACTGTTTTGTATATTTCTGGGCAAATGCTGTGAATTTTGATTGACCTTGTTCAGAATTCTCCCACAAAATTAACATATCCCTTGCTAGTGTTCAACATTGTTTCATATATTTTTTATTTTTTGTTTCGTATTAATTCAACAACTTTTTCATGGGTTTATTTAAAGCTTTATATATAGAGACTGCACGAAGCGTGTTCTTCCAACTAAACATTGATTGATATGTAAGTATATGGCACTATCCCCTGGTTTTATTTTCATCACAGAGAGACGGTATGCTGGACTTGTGAGAATGCTGGCTTCAAAGACTGTTGAAATCAGACAAGAATTGTTGAAGTAGGTGAAAGAGGCTTGAATTGACTGCCTTATTGATGTTTGCGGGTGACAGCCTCATGCGCCTAGTTTGGAAGGAGACTCTGAAATTCGAAATTTTGTCTTGAAAGAGATCGCAGCTCTAAAAATTAATATTCATTTTTAGGTCCAGTTATGGTGTTGGCAGTGACAATTTGATGTTTGAGGCTCAAAAGAAGAAGATGGAGATGGAAGAAGGGATACTGTTGTTGCTTGAAATATTTGACAGAGTGGGCGATAAATTGCTGCTTACTTGCAGTTGACTAATGAAGTAAATTTTTTTAAGCTTTTGCTCGTTTTATTTTGATTTTTCTCCCTTCGACAAGTTAAGGACTGCATTGTGACAAGAATATGAGCATGTTTTTTCGCACATCTAATTTGCGTTTGAGTTTTAACAGAAAAAATTCCAACTTTTAAACTTTCAACCTATTATTTTCGTGGTAAGAGGATACTTATTACATTATTATGTTGTAGAATTTAAGAAAGATATATATAGTCTTTGGAAAGCTAACAGGGTGTATTGCTTAATCCTAAAGCTACTAATATTACTACTTTCCTAAATAAACAAAGTGAAAACTAACCTAATTCTGTTCCAAAAAGATAGTCGCCTTTGAGTTTCCAGAGTAAAAATGTGAAAACTCAGAGCGAACTATTTTTTGGAGACAAAGAGAGTATAACCGAAACAGGATTCTAAAATAAAGAAAACGTAATCCTTAAAAAGGATTTTATAATTATAGCTGTTGCCTTGAAATCTACCATGAAAATTTTGGAATCTGCTTGCATCGATTCAATCTTCCTTTGCGTGAAAATAAACTGGCTTGTGGTTTTTAATCTACTACTAAAAGGACTCCCTGCTGAATCCATCAATAGCATCATTTTCCTTGTAGATATTTCTTTATTTGTCTTCTCCAAGCATAAAGAAGACAATGTTGTGATCAATTGTTTTAACTCTGGTCCTTCTTTCACCTTGCACGAAATGGTAGCATCTAATTTCAAAACATGATCACAAGATTGTTGGGCATTACCAGCTCCTCCTCCTCCAGCTTGGACTTTGGAATTCCATAAGAGACCTAGAAAGACCGGGGTAGTATTTCAATTTTAAACTTTTTGGTTTATTCTAAAGTTGAACTTTCCACCCTAATATACACTATATAATACCGTACTATGGTCTATCGTCTGTGTATTAGAAATACTACCCCGATCATAATTTGCCGTTTTGTACGACATTTGCACGATATTTGCAGTTCAACAGAGCAAATTCAAGCCGTCTGTCGGATTCTTTGGATGACTAATAAGCAAGCTGGGCCGCCGCGCACTTTGAATGTATTTCTTTCTTCTCTGCTTTAAATTAACGCTCAATCTACCCTGATGATGTAATCTGTGTCTTAATCTGCTTTTAACCGCCGGGGGACAACAAATTGTCTTTACCTGCCTCTAAGTTCTGTGCTCCGGTTAAAAAGCTCATCATCGTATGAATAATACCAGTATTATTAAGCAATCAAATTTATGTTCTTTGTGCTATGATTCCTGCATCAAAATTTTATAATCGGCCATTACTTACATTTCTTTAGGAATTAACAACCTTCTTACAAATTAACCCTGTCAAGATTTGTTCCTCAGTGTAGAGAACACAAGCTTCGACCGAATGGACACAATTGTTACTTTATAGGATTGTAGATAGATTTCAGTTTTTTTTTGTTATGGTAAATTTGAGATAGTCCAACAAGCTTCCTTTTTTAGCTTGCTCTCATAAATATTATCAGTCAATAGATGACTACAATGCCTCTTCACCTCCGCAACCCTCATTTTTTTCCCATTCATTCAGGTTATTGCACATAGATTGCGCAAGAATGTTTCTGCATTTTTTTGAGTTCTAAGAACAATATAACTTACATGTTGAACTAGAAATGAAAACTCAAACTGGACAATAATTATGGGACGGATGGACTAGTTTTTTTTTTTAGTTCTAAATGTTTGGTTTAAATCTTCACTTTTATTTTAGTGTTATTTTGTAAGGATAGATGATAATATTGTATCTCAAGCCGCAGTTAATGGTTTTTGTACGAATTTCCAGTGAAATTACTTCTTAGTTGAAAATTTTTTTGGCAAATTGTTTCCTTTAATTACCATGTCACTTATCACTTATGAATAGTAAAAATTTCGGAGTCCTTGTCCCAAGCAAATATTGTCCTTTGGTTGATTTTACACCAAGGAAAATGATATATCTAGTGAAAAAAAAATAATAATGAAAAAAGATAGTGGAGGAGGTGTAATATTCTTGGCCCCTACTTTTTTGTCACTTCCCCGTGAAAATTTTATCTTTTCTTAAAAATTATATTTTTATTCTTAATTAATTAATACACATATTAAATGAGGATGATGTATTTATTTTTTCATTAATCACTATACTTTTTCAATATAATTAGTCACTATTTTTATCATCCTGACCGAATCCATTTTTATTACTAGTTGACGCTTTACCTTGGGCTGAATCCAACGGCCCCCTTTTACCCAATGACATCATAGACTACCCATCCAACGATCAGCATTTATGTTCAAAATACAGGAAATCCAGAGAGAACCTTGATTCATAATGGAGAATGATTACAAATGTGGGAATCTTATATAAATTTCCACGCACTCACACACTAAAGGGGAATTTGTCTTCGCCTAGCCCTGCCACTTGCCAGCCTATAATACTCCCAAAACCCATCATCACCCTAAAATAATTTTACGAATTTTTTGTTCTGTTGTGCGCCTTTGTTCGGCGGTGGGTCGATTGATCCGATTCCGGATCATTTTTCTGGTTCTTGTTTTTGTTTTCCCTCTTTTGTATATTGGGAATTTTGGGATTCTAGGGTTTACCGTTACGGATCCGGGGTTTTCTAGAATCGGGGTGAGCTGAAATTTTTGTTTTTTGTTTAGAAGGAACGTAATCGAGAATGTTTTTGTTCGATTGGTTTTACGGGATATTGGCATCGCTTGGTCTGTGGCAGAAGGAGGCCAAGATCTTGTTTTTGGGCCTCGATAATGCCGGCAAAACCACGTTGCTTCACATGTTGAAAGACGAGGTAATCTATGACTTTCATTCCCAATTCGTTAACGTTGGATTATTGTTTCTCGTTATCTGTGTTTGTTATTCCATTGGCGAGTCATTTCGTTTCTTTTGTAATCTTGTCTTCGAATTTTTGGGTTTGCGAGCGTTTTCGTTACTTGATTGATATTGAACCTTTTCATTTTGTTTATAGTTTGATTATTGAGTGTTGGAATATTGTTATTTTGGGATGTTTTGAATTAGATTCTGAATAGAAGTATCGAATTACACAGAGACTGGTTCAACATCAGCCAACTCAGTACCCAACCTCTGAGGAGTTGAGTATTGGACAGATTAAGTTCAAGGCTTTTGACTTGGGAGGCCATCAAATCGCTCGCCGAGTCTGGAAAGATTATTATGCCAAGGTATAATCTGTTTTATCCTGTTTTCTTCATACCCCTGATACACTTTGAGTATTTCTAATCACGTGAATTTCTTTTGACATGGTTTGCATTGTTTTCCTGTATACTTTGTGTGATGAGTGTTCGTGGTGTTTTCATTTGTAGATTTAGTTCAATTCGGTAAAAGTAATACTTGGGAAGCAAAATGAGACCCTTTTATGTTATCTGTTTTAACAGTCTTATGGTTGGCATTCCACTATTCCAGTTCTTGAACTTGATTGTGTTTTAGCTACTGAGAAAAAATTTGACTTCGATTCCCAAAAAAGTTTCAATCCTTGGCATGTTAGTTAGCATAATTCAGCGGATTTATCGAAGTTACAATTTCCTAGATTACTACCCCTTGCTAACTAATAGGTTAAGTGTTGACAAACTTATTATAGCATGGCAACAAGCAGGTTGGAACTTTTCATTTAGACACCTGTGAAGTCTGGGACGAAGATGAACAATGCCTTCATTAATCCCAGATAAACATTTACAATGTTTATTTGATTCATGGGAGGCGCATATTAATTTGGAAGTCCGCTGATAGCACCTTTTATTATCCAAAAGGTGTTTTAATAGTAGCTTGCCAAACAAAAGTTCCTTTTTCTTCGAAATGTTTTGGTACTCTTCTGAGCAACTACATTGAGTGATGGATATCGAATTTGTATGTTGTAGCTACCTCGGTCGTCCATGTCAGCATTGTTCCTTTGTTTTATTCTTGGGGTATTCGTTCCAATTCTAACTCATGATTTCTAATGTTCAGGTGGATGCAGTCGTCTACCTTGTGGATGCTTATGACAAGGAGAGATTCGCAGAATCGAAGAAAGAACTCGATGCTCTCCTTTCTGATGAGTCCTTGGCTAATGTTCCCTTCCTTATTTTAGGGAATAAGATAGACATCCCATATGCAGCTTCTGAGGATGAGCTCCGTTATCACATGGGTTTGACTGGTCTTACCACCGGTAAGGGGAAGGTAAACTTGGCAGACTCAAATGTCCGTCCACTCGAGGTATTCATGTGTAGCATTGTACGCAAGATGGGGTATGGAGAAGGCTTCAAATGGATGTCTCAATACATAAAGTAGTAGTAGAATGCGTGGGAAGAAGGACTAGGGATTTGTTTTCTCTTGAATGTTAAAACTCCTACCAAAATTGGAGTTGAGCATGTGTATGAAAGATTATATGGCTTTTCTCTTGTTCCCTGTTTTGGTACAAAATTTAGACATAATGTAGTGTTTTACTTCTAAATTATATTAATGGTTTGTTCCCAGATAAATGGAGGTTTCTTATTGGCGAAAACATCTGCTTGTTTTAATTTGTTCTTATTCCAATTTTTTTACACAAACAAGGCGTTACTAAACCCTTTTGCAAGCTTACAGGTAGATGAATTGTATTCTTTTAATGTGATATACAGATCTTCCGAACCCTCTTCGTTTTTCATGTCGGGAAGGAATTTTTTCATTTTTTTTTAAAGAAAGGAATTATTGGACAATACTAGTTTGGAACGCCGCGAAATATGAGAATCGATATTTAAGAAATCAGCTTACCGATGATAACATATGAAGATGACCAATTTTATCATGAGTGAAAAGTGAAAATTAAAACAATTTTATCATGAGTGAAAAGTGAAAATTAAAACAAGAGGTACCATAAATATCATTTTTCGGTTTTTATAAAACGCTCCTGAACTAAAATGATACATTGAAGTTAAACATTTAATTGTATTATTGCGTCAACACTCAACATCATGAAATCTCTTAACAAGTTTTGTGGAATATTATACTCGTTATAATCCCTCCGTCCCATAATTATTGTCCAGTTTAGATTTTCATTTCTAGTTCAAATTGTACTAAAAGTGAAATCTTAAAGTGCACAATAATTTTGAGACAAAGAGAGTATTAAATATGTAAATTTCCTTACTAGCTTTCAAAGAATTATATAACTGGAGTTGATCTACATCGTATAATACAATTTTGAGAACAAGAACGACTTTCCATTCATTAAGAGGAACTAAAATTTTCTTAGAAGGATTCGACATGGCTTTACAGTTAATTTAGTTAAATTTATTATTTCACGAGATTAGTAACATCCGGGGATGTAGCTCAGATGGTAGAGCGCTCGCTTAGCATGCGAGAAGTACGGGGATCGATACCCCGCATCTCCAGTCATATTCATTGGCTTTTTTTTTTCTTCCTGCTTTCTTCTGGTTTATTTGGTTTTTTTCCTCTTCTTTCTTCTGGTTTAATTAGTCTGCTCCGATCTCAAATTGTTATACTCCCTCTATCTCATAATTATTGTTCAGTTTGAAATTTCATTTTTAGTTCAATTTGTACTTAAAACAAAAACCCAAACTGGACAATAATTTTGAGAGAGGGAGTAACAGATTAATGCAACATCTTCCTGCTTTCTTCTGGTTTATTTGGTTTTTTTTTCCCCTTCTTTCTTTTGGTTTAATTAGTCTGCTCTGATCTCAAATTGTTATACTTCCTCTGTCCTATAATTATTGTCCAGTTTGAAATTTCATTTTTAGTTCAATTTGTACTTAAAACAAAAACTCAAACTGGACAATAATTTTGGGATAGAGGGAATAACATATTAATGCAACAGTCATTTCATCTACAGGTTTATCATACACTTTTATCATTTCATCTACAGGTTTATCATATACTTTTATCTTCCATATAATACAACAAAAAGTAGACTATTTCTCTTGGACGGAGGATGAAGTGTTTTGAGACAAATACTAACTCGCAGACTTCATCTCTTTAATCTTTTTTTTTTTTTAAACCTCTTAAAACTGAAAAGGCCCTCAAAAAGTTAGAAATGGAACTCCTATACCTTTTGAGTCTTCTAACTCTTTTCACTTTCCAAGTGAACACAAGCAAAAACAATGTCAAAAAATTAAGTTTAAAAGAGTTGGTGGCTGCTCAATCACCAAACTTGCCAACATTAATCGTCTTCTTAGTCCTAAGTTAACCTGTAAAATTTCATACTTTCACCTTATGTGTCTGCTATAAACTTCCAGAAACTGTATATCTCTCTTCTTTCGCATCTCATCTCGTTGTTCCTCCCCAAGCTTCCAGGAGTTTGATCAGACTGAATAAGAGTTAGAGATATGTTAACATTATGGGCCCCTTCAGTCTTTATTATAAAAAATTTTGATTTGTTCTAAATTTAATTTAGTATGTTATTCCAATTGAAGATAAAACTTTAAAATTTATGTCAACAATAATTGGGAGAACAAAAAAAAAAATGTTAAAAGAACACATTAGATGGAATTTATGACAAATCAAAGGCGTTACATGCATATACTACGTTTTGTATTATCTCTGGAAAAACCGGTGAACTAATTAGACAACTCAACATCACAAGCAACAATAATGAAACTTTCTGAACAAGCAAAATTTTCCGCTCGAACAACTTCATAATAGATAGAAGATTCACCTCAACTCACTCTAAATTATTGATCAACATCAATATGCCTAATCAATTGGAAGGCAAAAGAACTATATGCAAACCTGCTGACTTCGATGATCCATCCCATCATAAGAACGTAAACCAAACAAAAAAAGTGCGGGTGCAGCGCGAAAGGGTGGAAGCAAGTCAGCTGCTATTCCTCCCTCATCGTCGTTTAGTTGAAGCTGTATGGTGTATGTGTATGTGTGTGTGTGTGTGTGTGTGTGTGTGTTTTGACAACGTTAGAATGGGAACTTCTAGCCAGAGCATATTATCGGCGAGTCGCATTGTCGAATTATGGACTTTAAAACTCTATCGGTCTAAATTACAAGGACGCAAAGTAAGAAAGAGTTACTCACTTAATTAATTGGCATTTACAGTACATGTGTGTAGAAAATAAGCTAATTAATTAAGAAATTCAAAGAAACCAAAACCAGAAAATACTTACAGATATGGATTGTCGAACAGAAGAAAAATAAAACAAAAGGGCAATAAAGAAAATAATAAAAAGTCAGTGGCAGCTCCTTGAGGAACACCTCCATCAATATCACTAATAAAGCCGTGGCGTGAGAGGAGACTACTTCAGTTCTATATATGGAAATTGCCTATTTAGTGAAACATCCTAAAAAATAAAAGGCGAGACTATTAAATTGGGTCAGAGGGAGTATCTATTTAAACGTAGTTTTGGGGTTTAGGCAATTCTACTTCTCTATCTATAGGTCTTATTCCTGTCCAGCTACACCAATTCTGTGCGGAAAAACTTTTGAGGTAAGGTTTTATCAATTCTGAGTAAAGTTCCATAGTGTTTCATAAAATTAGACTTCTTGAAAGAGTGAAAATTTGTGCCCAAAGGCTTCGAGTTTATGATCGTGCAATAAAATTGCGGTTCACGGTCAAACAGCCGAACATATATGAACTACGGTGTTGTTTAATTACTCATACGGTGTTCAGATAATTTCCTAGACTGCTAAATTTTTTTGAAAAAATTTGGATTAGGGGAAGTGGAGACTAAATAATTAATAAAGAAAGTAATACTCTTGAATAATTTGTATTAGGGGCGTAATAATTAAACAACACAAACAACAACTCTTGAAATAATAGCATCTTGTTTTTTTCATTTGATTTTTAAACACATAAATTAAATCTTTTAGTGATTATTATATTTTTGTATCAATATGGAAAATGTAATGTATTAAAGGATGGAAAAAAAATATTATGTTGACTTTAAAAATAAAAACGTTAATAATTCTTAATTATTGATAGGAAAATTTTTTTGTATAATGTTAATATTTTTAAGTAAATATAATGTTAATAATTTTTATATTTTTTAAGTAAATTTTTGTTTTTCACTTTCATATAACACCCTCCCGAACTTGTACTTCAAACGAGGCATACAACATATTTGCTAGAATTAATTAAATCACTTACATGTTTCGATCAGTGAAATTTCTAAATATAATAATATTAAAAAAGATTTTATTTTAAGTATATGTGGCCACTGACCACTTTAGTATTTTTATATTAATCAGGCTAAACGAGAAAAACAAATTAAATTAAGCTTCAAAGTATTTAGATTCATATAGTAGGGTTTTATTAATAGCTAAATTTAAAGTCGATATAAAAAGTAGCCACCTGTGGCTTCTTCTTCGTTCATACACTCTCTCTTATGCATCTTTTTATGAATTTGTTGCTTGAATTTTCTATCTTAATTTTACTGTAATTGTTATGTTTTGGGTTCAAAAGAAAAAGTAAAAGAAGCTAAATTTAAAATCATGTTTGTTTAGATGAACTGATATGCCCTTAATATAAATTATTCAAAAGTGATGCCCTCTTTATTAGTTATTTTGTCTCCACTGCCCCTTATCCAAATTTTCCCTATATTTTTTTTGTTTTCTTTTCTTAATGATGAATGGTTGTCCGATGATACATTGATGTTCAAATCTTTTTGCTTGTTTATGGCTACGAGGCTAGAGATGTGAAAAAGCTTCATGGATGTGTTCAATCATGTTTGAAACCTATGTACTCAATATCGTTTGATTTTAATTAATGATTGGGTTGTACATATTATTATATTTTGAATTAGCTATATATGTTTGAAGATTAATTGACACTTTCCGTATTTAGTTGTTCTTTTGTGATGATACATTGATGGTGTTGATATTATTTTGTTATAATTTGAAAGCTCTCATAGCCATCCATCGAGTCGACATAGGGGGTTTGGAGGTGGGCAGAGAATACAATGTCCTCCTGTGTTTTAAAATTATTATTAACTTTATATTTTCACTTTTAGTTCAATTTATACTAAAAATAATTGAAACCAGACAATAATTTCGGAACGGATAGAGTAACTCTTTTGCACTTCTTCTCAAGAGGGTGAATATGTCCTTTAATAAATGAAAAGATTCCATTTTTTTAAGGCAAATAATATAAGGACACGCATTGAAAATTATGTTTTGGGCTTGTGCTAGTTGCAACTTGGCTTTAGAAAGTTGGTTCGGGGCCGACTGAAAATTGCAATTTATTTTTATTATTTGGGTTGAGGAGAAAACTTCGCGTTATAAATGGCTGCACCAAGTTTTTTAAATCAACAATGATAGAGAGTTTGAATGCCATATGCATATTTGAGAGTTCCATTGATTGCTATAGTGTCTTATTGATTTGATCTTTCCTTGGATGGGATAATTACATTCAATGGAATCTTAAAAAGCATATTGGAACTGTTAAGTAAATTGAATGAATGTCTTCATTTATATACCTTTTAATGGTACAGCTCTTCAGTCTGTGACTTCTATAATCACTGATATTATGTACTCTTTTCGTCTCAAAATTATTGTTCAGTTTGAATTTTTACTTTTGGTACAATTTGAATTAGAAATGAAAGTTCAAATTGG